CTTATTTTTCCTCTCGTAAAATATCTACCCAAGGAACACCGTCTTGTTTTGAGACTGTTGTTAAGACATAATATTATAGTACCTGTATTACAAATTGCAAAATTATATCATACGGGCCGTGTATGTACAATCTATATAAGTTGGACGGCCACGCGACTAGTTTATATTGCTCGGTCGTACCATCATAATTTTATAAATTATCGTTTGTCGAATGACGTGTGCTCTTGTATTTCCCTGGAAAGAGAGAATTTTTTTTAATGACTTTTTTTTTTTGCTCGGCTTATTGCACAACTCTATGTTTACCAATAAGGTCCGCATATCGATGGCGTTCTATGTTTATAATATATTGTATTTGTATGCATTTGGATTACACGGTTGCCGTGGAGCGTGAAAAAAAAAGTAACTCGGTAATGAAAACCCGTCTCGTTACATTCTTGGTAGGAGGAGCTGAAGATGGTCGCGGTGTCGACCGCCGTATGTCTTTGTCTACCACTCGCTCTCCGTTCGGCAACCCAGTTAGTATACACAGAGGAGCGCGTATCCTTTAACCTTGAACAATATTAGACTCACTTCGGGTTATTACTCCTCGAGCATCACTTCTTCACTACTAGTGTTTCCAATACCCCCACGTAGTTGGCTTATAATATACCTATAGTACCTGCTGCTGCTTCTGTTACAAATCAAAGAGTCGCTGACAAAGACCCACAATCGAAGGAATCTTACTACTCGGCCAGATCCAACAATACCCAGCGCGTACAGCATGACAGGGCTGACAGTGGCTCGCATAAATCATTCTTTTATTCCTTCAGTGATCGCCTTTGATTTTTATTTCATAACTATTTACTTATATACCATTAATTTTATAATTTATACATATAAGTGAATCTATCATACGGTGTAAAGTGGCTGCGACTAACATGCGTTCAAATGTAAGAAGATGAGTAGGAAGAGTAGTCACTCGCATACCTAAAACTCTACATGTATCATTTTTGGACGCATGAAATTTATTACATACCATAACAGTGTTAATATGTTACCGTCAAAAATCAATGAGGATATTAGTTATTTGAACTATGTACAAATAGACAATAGACAATGTGTATAAGGACAAGGGCGGGCTTGATGACGACCGCTCATTAGTAAAACTTGGCGGCACTGATGTAAATATAGGGGAAGGGGCTAATCATACATAAATTGCTGTAAGTTTAAATAAGTATTGTCCAATGCTTGAAATCCGATATTTCAAGTACTTTTATGATTTTTGTGTTAAACATGCTGGTAATATGCTAAAAACATGACTGAACTCTTTTTGATTTCGACTTATCTAAATATTTTTATGTTATACAAGTAATCCGTTTGGATAAAAAAAAAAAAATAACAAAATGAGCTCTCATCTAGCAAACTGCTCAGCTTTACTGAATTTTATGTTGAATCACCTGATGACTACTAGTGCATGACCTTGTCCTTAATCGTAGAGCGGTGACTGTATTTTTTATTTTGCCTAAAGGGTTTAAATAATTACTTAGATATTTTTGTTTTAGACTTTTTTTCCTTATTATTGTCAGTTATCACAAGGTGCTCTATTTTAAACGAACTTGATAATCATTTTTGGTGAGACGACGATAGTAAATTCTGTCTAATACTGATTATTTTGAAAATACAATATGGAACACGTGCCAAGTTTTTCCTATTATTTATTACGCAATGAGTTTTATTGAAATTCTCAACTTAGAAAACGAAATGCTCTCCGACAAAAACGAATTCATTTTACATTTCATTTAAAAAAAAACCTGATAGACCGACTGATGGGGACAAGAACGTTTTATTGTGGTTCGTATTCTAAAAAAAAATCTTTAGACCTATCTTGTTGTATTTTAAAATAGTCATTTTACTTTGGCACCCGCTTAATCTTCCACAATAGATTAGAATGAATATTCCTACATATTTTAATACTGACTTCAGTGTTGTTTTGAATCATTCCGCGTTACGTCACCGAGTATAGTATAGGTATAAAAAAAATATATATCGGTAAAAAATAATTGTACCTATTCGTTGAGTAATATCATTGGTATGCCGTATTTATCTACAGGCTCATTTGATTCACTTCTCAGTGGTTTCCTCATATCTTCTAATCGATTCATGTAAAATGGACCAACGACCACAAGAGCAGCTTAATGTGTTTTGTTAGGTTATTTATTCCTCGCCACGCATAAGTTTAATAACATTACTTTTAGACAGAAAAAAAACACACGCAGAATACAAACCAGCAGCACAGTAAAAAATTTGCAAAGTGGAGTCAGGCCAATTATCCCAAATATATTACGATTTTTAAATAATGTCTTATCTATGTAGGTTATTGTGCAATTTGTTTAATAATTTTGAAAACTTCATTGAAAAGAACATACAATTATTTTAATTTTTCAGTTAAGTTTTAAAATCATAAAAACGTCCTGCTGTCCAATTGATTGTTGAAAATTATCATAATTTTATAATTTCTTATTCAAATACAAATTCATGAACTCTCACGAGTGAATATCTAATTAAAATATTACAATCGATACAGTATAGTAATACCTTAGCTGGCTTTTTTGTCTGTAGGTTCAGTTTGAACAATACAAACATCTGACTATTATTCAAAACCTTGTAAAGTCGCCAAACAAATCCAACGCGTTTCCAATGTTTAATTTTTAACAATAAAATAACTATAGCTATAGAAAAATTATCCAATGTAATATAGTTGCATGAAATCGACGTGTAACCTTAAAAAATAACAAAAAGCGTTGTAGTAATTTTTAAACACTTGACTTAGTTAATTTTTTTTCATAAAGTCGTTATACATCATGAATCATAACAATTAGAATTTACTATGATTATTTTCAATTATACCTTGACAAAGTTTTTTTTAATTTTTGTCGAAGTACATAATAACTTTTTAGCCACTGGGCCTAGTTCTTCATTTAGACAGTCAATTCATTAAAACATTTTCCAGAAAATTTTTTTCAGTATAACTCTGTCGATCAATATTCACAAACTAAGAAAATAACGTTAACCTTTATACCTAGAAAGAATGGTGGAAAGCTTCAATTAATTTCCAATATTTTTGGATGATTTTTTATTGTTATTCAAAATTTGTATGATTCGCAGCTTCGTATCAAAGCGTTTTTAATTTTTAAAGTGTGTTTCTCTTGCTTCCCTTTTAGACAATAATTCCTAAGGACTATTTTCTAAACATTTATAGTCTGTTATATATTATTATCGATTATTTTAGAGCACGTGTAGTACCTAATAAATTGTATTTCAAGGATACAAATACACTTGTTAAAGTTTATTATGCCCATACTACTATTCGACAACTATACGTACCTATTATGTTTATTTTAAAAACTTAAGTGTTATTTAATGTTACCTATAGAAAATGTAAAGAGCGGCTGTCTAAAGTCCAAAATCAGCGTTTTAGTTTAGTTTTTATTTTGTTTGCTTTCGGTCAAGTATCTAACGCCTAATAAATATATTATCTAGATAAACAATATGAAGCAATTTATTGTGTCGTCCTGTTTAAACTGTTTACTATACTTCGCTTTATTTATCGTCACAACAATAATGATATATAGAAACATTAATTTTCCGAAACTCCATACTGGTTTTACAGCGTTGCCATAAATATAATTCTTTATTTTAGTCATTATATTCGAATTTCCTATTATAGGGACAAAGAAAATTCACATTACTCGAACTAAAAGTAAATCACAAAAGTGTTTCATTCAAGCCGTAAATAAATGTTATGTGCTAATAATGTGTGTTGGACAAACGATACTACTTATGTCATAGTGAAATTTTGAGCGATTGATTTCACATTGTGATTTGTGAACATTATTATTTATGTATGATATGATTGCGTTACACGTTTAATGTGATTTCAATATAAAAGAAACTGACATATCTAACATAAATTTATACATAAGTACAAATAATTTTCGCAACACGAATATAACGAAATAGCGTAAAAATCCCCAAGTATCCCCAAAAAAGACTTCTTTTTTTACAATTTTTTAGAGAACAGTGGAAAAAAAATCAGCTTCTGTGATTTTCATTTTTTTTCGAGACTGCTTGAATACCCAGTGTATTTTTACTTAAGTCGAAACACTGTTAGTGAAAAACTCAGTAAACTTTTTTAAAATCATAACTAAACAGTTAAACACCGTGTCTAACCGAAAAACGATATTGCCCTATAAATTGACTGAGCGTGAGTGCGGAACCAATTTTAACTAGCATACAAACATAATATATTCTGCACGTCGTAATGGGCGTACACATGCATGTGCGCCCATATCCGACATCGGCCATCGTTATTTATGTTTATTATATACTTGTTAAAATTCTACTACTGCCGTTCTCTGGTCATTTCAAAACCCATAGCCATAGTCGCCATAATACTAGCCACACTCGCAGGTCCGAAATTTGATCTACTGATTTAAATTATCAAATAATAACAGCTATACTGTGCGCACTACTATGTATTTAGGTATAATATATTAAGTATAGTTTAACACTAAGTTTATTTAAAGTGTTTTTGTAATAGTGACTATTTAAAAGTAGCCCGTGAAAAAAGAAGAGGCTTAGTAGATAAATCATACTCATGACTGTTTTCTAAGAAGTCATGTGCATACATTTTTGACAATAAAGTATTACCTAACTGTGTTTTTTAAACGCAGAGTGTACTGACCGTACGCTAATACTATGTGTAGGTTGTGTTAGGTACGACCTAACGTTTTTAGGTGCAATAGTTGGCTTACATAAATATTTCTATAAACTTTATTGTAATAAGTATAATTCATTTTAAACACAATCATTATAACTACTGACTTGAGATTATTGAATCAAACTATTAGTTGTCACGAGGAACCACAGTGTTGCTTGCACGCCCATATTATGTATGCGAATTTCGATTCTTTATGTTGGTATATTATGTATTAAATATTTATTTATTTTTCGGTTTGTAGGTTATCCGGCTCCCGTTTATAAATGGCTAAAGGACGGCAAAGAACTTGGAGACTTCTCTACCGACCAAACTTATCGAATGCTGAACACAAAACTCGACGACGTCGGAACTTACCAGTGTGTGGCAAAAAACGATGTCGGGTCGATTTTGTCTCAGAAAATCGATATCAACATTGCTTGTAAGTAGTATTCATATGACTTGGTTCCCTTAGCTTCGATGGGCCTGTAAATATGTTTTCTTTTATGAAAATAACAATATCGAAAAAAATTTGAATTATACATTTTAAAACCAAAAAAAACTGACACAGATAAAAATAAGTTGCATTATTGTCAAATGTATGATCGAAAACTTGTTTTTGAAAAAAGGCCACTTGTACCCTTTTGGTTGTCATCTCATTACTCAAATAAAAAATGACCTAGTGATCTCTTGGTTGTTATATTAAATACCATTTGTTTTTTTTCAACAATCTTCGGTTAGGTGGTTTTTGTAATTATAATTAATTTTTTTTAATTGAGATTTTTCCTTTCTTTACCGGGCTGACATTTTCGCCAAAAGTCACAAAATTTAGTACCACAACAAGAACCCGTTTAATAAAACTACAAAAACTATAGCCATCTTCGCAAAGTGTTTCTAGTACACTATGAGGACCATTCACGGAGAAAGTCCTTCTTTGTTCTCGTTATATATTCAACTTAAGTACTTATACACAATTATTATGCTCTGGATTTAATTTGTTTTCTTTCTGCTGATTTCGAGCAATAACCGCTATCGGAGAGTTCTCTTTTCATTAAATTCACACTATAAATATATATGTCTGAAGTATACAACATTAGTATGCATATGTGGGAACGCCGCCCCCGAATACAGATTTCACTGGATTAAGTTACCAACAAAAACCAATTAATTATAAAAGCAAAACTAAAAAGAAAGGTTAAGCTTATTGTTTTTTTAGAGAACGGTGGTTCAGATAGGCGTCTAGGTTACATCATTATTATTTTATTCAAATATTTTTACCGTGCTCCTCTTTCTAGTTTGAATTATAATTGGCAAAATTTGTGAAATTCTCGTTGCCTTGAAATCCATTGTAAACTGTACAGGGAGAAATTCAACTTTACAAAACAATTTTACTACGTTAAAAACGAAGTCTAAATGAGATCCGTGCACTAAATAAAATTGTCTTGAACTATTATGGAAAACCACCTCGTATTATAGATTCATATACATTAAAGAGAATCATTGATTTTCACAACTCCACCTAGTGTCTTATTACTATTAATCGTTAACAAACATACGTTGTGCCAGTACGGCTTTTATATGATGACAAATGATTGTGCCTTTGTGTGTATGTGTGTGGAGTTTACTTGTATTGATTTAACTATTTGATCAATACTTATTATGTACAATGTATACATCTATTTATTATTACTGCCCGTCTTTTTACACTTTTGAATCGTGATTCATATTGTAATTATCTCGACGACTTCTGAAAATAAAACTTATCAATTTTTTAAATTGGAATGCAGGAACGTGTAAAACGACTGCACAAAACCTGTTTATTATCGGCTGCGTATATTATATACTTACCTAATATGGGCTTTGGCTCGGATCGAAGTGTATAATTTACTTTGATTACCAATAATTATTTAAGTCGCCACCGAAGAAATTCTAGATTTGATGATATTTATTGAAATATATTTCCATAATCATAGGACTATAATTATTTTATATGTGAAACGGCAGTCTAATTAATTTTAGCTCGGCGCAGATGAATATTTATCATTGCTTTCAACGACTTTTAACGGTCAAATATGAGAGTTTAATTTAAAAAAATGTAAATACTTATTTTCTCTTAAAGTTGTTAGCCTTTTTCGTACAGTTGTGTTTAATTATTAATTAATTTATATCCATGTACATTTTTAGTTTTTCTAATAATTATTCTGATATTATGTAATTATATGTATCATTAATAATGATTATAATGCATTAATGCTTTATTAGAGCTATAACTTGTAACGACATTTTAAAACATTTTCAGCAGAAACTGTCAATGTTTTGTATCGTTTCTATAATTTTTTTTTATTTGACTTAATGTCTCCCGTTTTTATCTTATTGAGGAGTTGAGTAGTTCACTCAAAACAAGCCGTTTGCTGCAGTTTGTTTGACTAAAATCCTATCTGTTTTTTTTCGCTCGTTAATGCACAGTTCAACGACACGTTGAATCAATTTAAACATTTTTTATTATTATTCAAAATTAAAAAGCAGAACTTATACGCGGGCTGATATATTATTGACTTAGGCGCAAAGCCGATTATTTTTATGTGTTTACATTTTTTAGGCATGAACAACGATAATTTTTAGTTGCTGCATAGATTTCATAAGACATATTTTTCCCAAGGCAGGTACTTTATATGGTCAAAAATTAAACAGAAAGCATCTATTTCATATAAAATCTGAGAAATACACAAAAATTCAATTACCGACTTTCACATGCAATAACTTTGCAAAAAATATCCATATTATTTTTATGTTTATTTGTTAATGCGATTGTTCCATATAGCTGTCAGACATAATTTTCAGTGATTTTCTTTTCTTTGTTTTAATACTCGTGTTGCTTTTTATATTTTTTATCCGTGAAAATAAATTGTTAACTATTGTCTTAACAAGTATTAGGACAACGTTTAGGTACATCTAACATTATTTATACATATCTCATGTGCTTCGGTTGTTAATAGTGTAATCTTGATTTTAAGTCAAAACGTGTTAAATTACTCATTGCCTCTACCCCCAGCTATTTTTGTCGTCGTCCACCCGAGTCCTCTAAACTAAACAACGTCTATCACGTGTGCACGCGCACATTTGTATTATCCTCGTATCACTATAAATTACGTACATGCGTCTAAAAATCTCTTTTTCGGCATTCTATTTACACCTCTCTTTCATTTTAAGCGCATAACTCACTTGTCTTCTCTACGGTAGGCGCCACGCCCAAGACTGTCACGTCTAATCCTTATTGTATGTCCGCTCTGGTCGTTCGACACATTCACCAAATAACATGTCACTGACTTAACGACCGTCGTAATTATTGCTTTAAATGTGACGCGGTGGCTATGTACACATTTTCAAGGTGTCGCTGAACCACGGTAATTACTAAAATAGACCACCACCTTCATAATAGGTATATTATAGTTGCCTCTGTTGGCCGCCCCCGTGCTCGTTAATAGCAAACGCGCAATAAAAACAAAGACTTTAACGCTCAAATCGCCTAAAAATAGTTTTTCGAGAACTTTTTCTAGGTATACTATATAATGTACAATGGACGCGACGAGTTGTGCTAATCGATGTTCTTTACTGGTTTTGATTTGTTTAGACATGGACAACTTTATGGAAATAACCGACCCCATAGTCAGAGTGGAAAAAGGTCATGCGGCTATTTTGGACTGTCCGCCAATTAAGAGCTACCCACCGCCTTTGGTGCAATGGCAGACGGACGATGGCACTCAGCTGTACGACATCAAGTACGCGCTGGTGGCGGAATTACATCAATTGGTCGTGTTAGCGGCTTCCGACCAGGACCAAAAAGCATACAGGTCAATTGAGTATAATTCATTCACCCATCCCCCCTCCCTCGTATCGTGTTAAATTAACGTTTAACATTACTTATTATTATTGCAACGACGACTAACGGGCACGATGACTTTTCTTAATTAACTCGGTTCGAACTTCGAAAAGAAAGAAAAAAACAATAGTATAATAAAGTAAAGAAACGCCGTTAAAGCCGTTACACGTCGGGTTAATTGGGTTTCTAGGTTTTTATTAATTTTTTATTTTTATTTTGCCCGCGTCAGTGAGTCTCTTAAGCGACCAATTATTGTCGAACCGTCGGTCTGTATGTACCTACCTACTCACTTTAAATGGGTAAGTATGTTGTTACCGTCGGCTTCCCCCTCCTCCTTATCTTTCGGCCTTGGTATTTGTTAACCTTATTCATCCCGAACCCACCCGAAAATTGTACGGGGTTAACAGTATAGACAGAAGTTCTAATAAGATTATCCTAATTATCGCTCTATCGATTCATGAAAAATCACCAGACTGTGAATAAACCCAATATTAAATTAAAACCGTATAGAACATTTTTTATCATTTTTCGGTTAAGGTAAAATAATAATAATAAAAAAGAGGGAAGTAGATATTTGTTATAATTGTCTTGCTGTTTAATTTAGCAGAGTTGGCGAAAAAATCTAGCAAATGTTCGGTGCCCCCAGCCTATACACAAGTCCACACACTCTTGGACCCCAGCTAAAAAAATTAATTTAAAATAGTAGGTACAGTTAAATAGTAAGCTAATATCCGTACAATCAATTAAAATTATGTTTGACGATGTAAAAAAAAAAAATGTTCAATAGTGACAAAAACACGTTCCATGGTTAGTAACATTAATTTGCAAGTCGAATTAACGATTCCGGATTTTTTACATCTTATGTTTTCATCAGTTTTTTTATTGGTAATACCTATCCAATTACTTTGATAATGTTGAAAAAAAATGAAATACCAATCTATTGGACTTAAGCCAGTTTAAGAATTCAATATTGTCGTACTTAATGTCATCATATGTTCATTTAAATTTAAATTATCCATCTTTGTTTTAAACTCATTTAAAAACAATTTCTAAAAAAAATGTTTTCGGCTCTTGTTTTAATTCTCCTTTACAAGTTTTACCTTCTTGCGCTTGTCCTTTTTTGGCGCTACGAAAGTTTTACATATGTTTTCGCGAGAGGGGGGGGGCAACAATTTATGTCACTTTGATCCTCTATCAAAACAAACACATATTATTATTGATAAGATATTACAGTGGAGATATTCGATACTTTTTATCTCCCCCTATTTTCTTCACTTATTAGGAGCACCTCAATAGAGAGGCTACCAAATTCTCCTACTGACTACTGATAAAATATAAAAATAAGAAAATAATACAAAAATTCGTTTTTTTTACTTGGCTGAAAAATGAAACTTTAAAAAAAATTTACCCTTGTTTTTTTAGCTTTATAACTAGAAATTGTCATCATTTACTGTCCTTAACTTATCAAGGGTTTAACTCGTCAGTGCCCATTGTAGCAGAAATACATCATGTTTATTACACAATTTTATTTTGTTAGAAAAAATATGTACTTTTACTTAGGTGGTGCCTTATCGTTATTAAAGAAATTGCTATCTATAAGATGTTTTGAACGTAATTTTTTTTTAGATAATACATACTTTTTTACTTATTTTTTCAAATTCCTAATGATTCAATCTATATTAAAAAAATTGGGCATTGAACGGTAAAATTTCTGGTTCCTGGACGTCAAACCTGTGCAGGTTTTTACACTCGGTTATATATTTTTTGTTAATGCGATGGCACACTAGAGTCCCCTTTCGTTGGCCTTTAAAATCCCACAGTTTTTAGCTACGGTTGTTAGTTTTGTGACACGTACTATGTTTCTCTCGTGATTTGCACAACAGGGTGAGAGCGACGAATCCTCAACTGGGAAAAGAGGAGAACAGCAAGTTCCTGAGGATCGAGATCACCGGCGGGTCGCATAACGGAGACGTGGCGCCTTACTTCGTGGTCAAGCCCAAGGAGAAGCACGTGGTCAAAGGCCACAAGACCACCGAACTGCAGTGCATCGCCAACGCCAGGCCCATACACGAGCTGGAAACGTTATGGTTCAAAGACGGTATACCCATCGAAAACACCAACGGCATAGTGTTCGCCTACAACGACCCGTGGAACCGGACCCTGTCGCTGATCAACGCCAACCTGATGCACACGGGTCGCTATACCTGTCAGGTGCGGTTCCGGTCCGGAGGGTACGCGCCCATTTCCGCCGAAGCCGACGTTTTCGTTTTGGGTAGGTTTAATAAAATTATTTTCACCGACATAAGGTGTCCTCGAAAACGATCCGTTAATTTTACTAGTATTTATTATGTATACATATTTTCTTTAGAACCTCCCACGTTCGTGGGCAATCTGAGGTTGGAGACGTTGGGCGAGTACGGGTCTACGGTGCGCATTGCCTGCGACACCATTGGCGTCCCTCAACCGAAAATAACGTGGTATCGCAACGCCGAAAGCATTGGCCAAAACAACAGGTAAAAACAGTACTGTTTAACATAGTTAACGCTAACGGTAGTGGAAAATTAAGACCCTCTTCAAAAAAAAAAACAACTTGAAATCCCCCCCCCTCCTATTGGGTAAAAAATAATTGTGATAATAAATAAATATCGACGAATGATACATTACTTTTTATTCGTCAATAACATTGTTTGTAACTCGATAAATAAAAAGTTTAAAACTGAGTAATTATTTTCTTGTTTTGTTTCGAAATTATATAACAACCACATTACACGACAACTGGCGGCTAGTACGGGAAATAAATTTAAAAAACGAAATTGACTAGTTTTAGTTACCAAAAAAAAACCGTTAATCGAAAAAAATCATTTCGGTTTTATGTTCTGTACTTCAAGACGAGTTTGATAAAAACACCGTATGATTTTTATATTGTACAAGACAGGTTATGTAATAAAAAACATGAGTATAATTTCAATTATTTCGTTTTAATAGACTTAAGAAAAATCTAGATTTTCCGGTTATTTATATTTTTCCCATGACTAATTAAATACTTGTACTTGTAAAACCAGATAACTATTAAAATAATAATTATCACATTGATAAAATTCTTGTTAATAACCACTGAAAAAAAAAAAGTGACAACCAACATTTACGTTCTTTATTGTTGACGGAAAATTTAGTTAAGTCGACATTAATTTAATTAATTTAACTTTAACTAAGGCTAACCTTAGTGTTTGGTTGTCAGCGATGAAACTGTTTTTTTGTCGAAGTGACCAAATTTTAAAGTGATTTATGTAATTTAAGTGAAACAAAATTACTGAGAAACTAACAAAAATTCAAAGATTACAATATTTTAATTTAGATATTCTCTTTAACTTTCATTTTTTTAAATGAAATATTTTTAACTTAAATTCATGTCTAATTACGAATTGTACTCTAAAATCAATCATCATAGTAATTTTTGTATAGGACAACGTTTTTTGTGCAAATATTATACACAGTTATATTATTAATTAATTAGAGGAGGTCGTATTTAAAGGTAGTCTACGCAAAATCTGTTTACAATCCTTTTTACCGTCTTGTTGTTTTTTCTTTTATATACTTAGGTACACAGTCGAAGAGGACGGTACGTTAGTGATAAAAAAACTCAACATCGAAGACTCCGGCATGTTCCAATGCGAATCGGTCAACGAAGCCGGGTCGGATTACATTAGCACGTGGTTGAAAGTGAAAAGTAAGTACTTTCCGAGTGATTAATAACAATTATTATTTTGATTTAGGTATCAGCTGTAAACTTGCTGCTCATTTGTCTAACATTACCCGTTTCTTCCTCCGTCTCGTCCGTTTTCATTATGTATCCCTTTCGAATAATATTGTCTATATTTTCTTCTTGGTTCGGTACAAAAGAAGAGGTCGGTCGAAAACTGGAAAAGTTTTGATGATGGTATTTTGTCTTTTGTATCCGTACCAATCGTTTTCGAAAATATGTCAAACGACACGACGATTTCGCGTTCAGGCTGTAAAATAGAATATATATAATGTGTAGTAAAAAAAAAACCCCGGTTGAGATCTGTCCCTAATCTCAGTTAGGAAGCGTGAAATCGCAATTGGTTGAAATCTAAGAGCAAATTGTAAGTACGATTGGTGTTGTTAAATCTCCAAAAAAAAAAAAAAAATGACTGTAATAGCACAGATAAGATAAAAAAATGTTTCTAATCTGTGTTAATAGTCGTTGAAGAGCTCGTTTGGAGAAGAATAAAAAACGCTACCTAATGGGTTTGATTTGTGGGAAAAAACGGTGATCAATAAAATATAAAAGACAATGTCTTGCGAAGAAACGAGTCCATTTATCGTTTCTAAATTTTTAATTACCGGAAAATACTTAAAAATAGAAACGTGTATAGATATATATTAATCTCCTCTAGAACAATGGCTCTGTTACTTTTCTTATAGCGCGTAGATTAATCATTTTAATCTGTTGTTCGTATAGTGGGTGGTCGGTTGCAATGACGTAGCTACATAACCGTTTTCGTCTAAAATTTAGGAAAAGTAATTATTAATGTTGTAATTTCTCTTAAAGAAATAAGTACGTTAGTACGTGTTTCAAACACCAATAAACTTTTGGTTAGTAATAAAATATATATAAAAAAAAGGTGGTTATTTTTCTTATTATATAATTCTCTCTGTTGTGTATTTTGATATGTGAGAATAGTATGTGTGTACAACAGAATAATAATAATAATAATAATAATCGTAAAATGTATAAATAAACTTTTTTTTTTAATGGTGGTTACCAATGGTGTGTGTAGGACGTCGTTTTAAACGCAGGACGACAAGACCTTCTTCGGTGTACAGAATGCTGCCTTGGCCACGTCCTAGTGTCAGAAAATTACCTCGTAAGACGAAGATAAAAAAAATTAAAAAAATTTGCGGCTCTCTTCGTATATAGAATTTGATTATTGTTTTCACACTTATTTTGTTTGCACGGCACCCTTTCACGCATTTAAACGTTTTTAGTCACTTGTACGCTTAACGGGTACGGCAAAAAAGATCAGTCAGTGTTTTTTTTTTCTTACCGTTCGTCGAGTATTTTTGTAATTGCACAATAAAGTATTTTGTCTTAATATTATTATGTCGACGGGTAGGACGTCCATAGTATGTTGTCTTTAGTTAGAACAAAACGGTTTAGCCAAATCTTACCGTAATAGTATTTACCGTCGCAAGATGAGTCTTCACACCATTAATATAATAATATTGTATTACGTAGTTTGCATCAGCCGAATGGCGGTTAACGTTGCTTAATTAATATTGTTTATTTTTATTGTTACAGCGACCGGTCCTATGATCGAAAACGAACCTCAAAACTCGACCGTGCTGGAAGGAAACGAAGTTATATTGTCTTGTAGAGTGATCGGTGCGCCCAAACCCAACACGACTTGGATCTTTGCCGGTACGTAACTCGGACGTCTTCCTGTACGTTTTTCCTTATTGTCTCAACCGTCGATATTGTATTTTTCCAACAGATTCTTACGTAGCTCCAAATGAGAGAATGCGTATTTTGGATCAAGGAGATTTGTTTATATCGTCAACTCGAGTCCAAGACACTGGCAAATACACATGTGTACGATCGAACGAAGCCGGCTCAGTACATTTAAGCGCTTATGTCAAAGTTCTAGGTATATATATATATATATATATAAAATAAACATTTTAAAATTTGTATTTATTCTACTTGTGTTTTATTCTATCGTTTTATAGGAAAGACCACGATAGTAGAGCCGCCAACTGACACGAGAGTTTTATTGGGACAGACTTCCATAATGAAGTGTAGAGTGTCGAGTGATCCTACAGTGGTTTATCAAATTGACTGGTTTCATAATAACAAGTGTGTAAAATACTAAAACGTAGTAGCTATTGTTACAGACTACAGTTATTATTATTACTTTTTTTTTTTTATAGGAGCATTGGAGCTGGCAACGGAAGGATCAAAGTGTCTGCGGACGGTACATTAGAAATAGGAGTAGTGCGAGCGAGTGATGCCGGGGATTACACGTGTTCAGTGTCATCTGCTGGCGGCGACGAAAGGAGACATGCTTATTTGAGTATACTCGAATTGCCGTATCCGCCCAATGTGGTTCAAGCCGAACGTGTCGGATCCAGATCGGTAAATGTCACATGGACAGTTGGTTTTGATGGCAACAGCCCTATACTGAAGTATATCATACAGAAACGACAACTTGGTAAGTTTGAACCAACATAAGATTTTAAAATAATGATTATTAGCCTTTTTTACTTATATATTTATGTCAATTTTTTATAATTTCAGAAACCCAATCCTTGCTAGATCCACTTGTTGATTGGGTAACTGAACTCGCAAACATATCGGCCAATGCTCGGTATGTTGTTTTGGAAAATTTGAAGGCGGCCAACACGTATCAGTTCAGAATCAGCGCTATGAACGCCATTGGAGAAGGGACGCCGTCTCAACCTAGCAATTTTGTAACACTGCCACAACAAGGTGATGATCAAATTAAACACGTGTATTAACATTTGTTATTAACTGTTTTCGTTTTCAATTGTTATAGCGCCTTCTGGTCCGCCTTTGGGATTTGTCGGATCGGCCAGATCGAGTTCTGAAATTATTACTCAGTGGCAACCCCCATTAGAAGAACACCATAATGGTCAGATTTTGGGGTACATTATAAGGTATAGATTGCACGGATACAACTATAGTCCTTGGACTATTCACAATGTTACCAGCAGCGTAAGTCAATCAGCGAAAGAACTCTTTATAAATTAATAAGTGCTGAATAACAAATGCAATTGAATTTTTAGGCTCAACATCACTATTTAATCCAAGAGCTAATCACGTGGAAAGATTACGTTCTCCAAGTAGCCGCATACAACAATAAAGGAGTGGGCGTATTCAGTGACGGCATTCGTATTAAAACCAAAGAAGGAAGTTAGTATTTTGATTTTCAATTTAAAAAAAAAAAAATTATAAATTGTTTTTAATTTCAATCAAAACAATTTACACATTACAGTACCCGAAGCTGCTCCATTAGAAGTGGTCGCAAGGCCATTAAACAGTACGTCAGTTCAAGTCTGGTGGAAACCACCAGATCCGCAAAAAATTAATGGTATCAATCAAGGGTACAAACTGCAAGCGTGGATCGGTGAGAAAATAATAATTTAAAGTACTCTTGTGTTTCATTTACGACTGAGTGGAACTTCTCGAAAAAAATTGATTTCCATAGCTGATTGTGGCCGATATCATTTTAGGTGAACGGGTCGAACACGAAATGACTGTGGCTCCTAGTCTGTTTGATCCACTTGCTCAGCAGACGACAAAGTTTGTAAACCTACGGAAATTCATGGCATATAATGTAACAGTGTTATGTTTCACTGATCCCGGTGACGGTCCGCTAAGTAGTCCTTCGTTGGTCGTCACACACGAAGATGGTAAATTATTTATTTGGCATTCGCCCTCCCCAGTCAAATTTCATTCTGTGTATTGTTTTAGTTCCGGATTTGGTTGGTAGTCTTCATTTTGAAGATGTTTCCGATCGTTCAGTAACTGTTGTCTGGTCAGTGCCGGTCCATACAAATGGGCACTTGATTGCATACACTGTATCGTATTCCATTCGCGATCGACCTGAAACTGCTCATTCTATAAACACTACATCGGATGTGACTAGCATCGTTGTGGACCAACTTCAAGCCACTACTCATTATAAATTTGAAGTTTACGCTTGGACCAAGATCGGACCGGGTCCAAGTCGAACGGCCACGATTCAGTCTGGTATTGAACCCGTCTTGCCGAATCCACCTACCAAGTTAGCAATAACAAATATTGAGCCGTTCTCTGTTGTTCTGCAATTTACACCAGGATTTGACGGCAACTCATCTATCACTAAATGGGTTGTTGAGGTAACTAAAAATAACTGTTTCTTGTACTTATGGTATCTTTTATTTTTTATTATTATTATTATTTATCCTTGTGTTTTTTAGGCTCAAACGGCGAGAAACACTACTTGGTTTTCTGTTCACGAAGAGAGTAGTCCAGATGCAACAACTCTAAAAGTCTTACAATTGGTTCCTTATACTTTGTACCGATTAAGAATCACTGCGTGGAACGTAGTCGGTGCTTCTGAACCTTCCGATCCCACTAAAGATTTCCAAACGATACAAGCGCCCCCCGCACACGCTCCTTACAATGTTACAGTTCGGGCTATGTCGTCAACCGAACTCAGAGTCCGCTGGATTGTAAGTATTAAAAAAAAAAAAAAGTAATAAATCTCTAATTGAATTCGTTTTTTAGCCTTTACAACAAAGTGAATGGTTTGGTAATGGGAAAGGATACAACATAACCTACAAGTTGACTAATACTACCATTACACATACAGTTACCATTGACGATATAACTTCCAACTCGTTTGTTTTGGATTGTTTGCAAAAATACACCCAATACGAAATAACTATGAACGCATTTAACGACGTCGGCTCTTCAGGTCCTAGTCTGCCGGCTTTCGAAAGAACTCGGGAGTCTGGTAAATATTTCTCATTTTTTTTCTGTTGCAAGTTTTTTAACCTAACAAATTATAATGACAAATTGGTTTTCAGTTCCTTCTATGGGACCCATTAACGTTGTGGCAAATGCAACATCATCAACAACTATTGTTGTAAGCTGGGGTGACGTGCCCTCTGAACATCGAAACGGAGTCATCGAAGGATTTAAAGTAACTTTTACAAAAATAATTTAAATTTATTTTTCGTTTCGACCAAATTGTATGATTTTTTTTAATTAAATAGGTGTATTACAAACCTGGAATTCGAACTGTTTACCCGATGCAAATTAAAGATATTCCAAAAAATTCAACGTTCACAACTACGTTGACTGAACTAAAAAAGTTTGTTCAGTACAGTATACAAGTTCTGGCTTATAGTCGGTTAGGTGAAGGCGTGCTGTCTACCCCTCCAGCTAGAGTTCAGACTCACGAAGATGGTACATTAAATCGTATATTTTGTGTTTTCATATTAAATTGTTTTTTTTTTTTTTTTTGTGTTTAGTACCCGGTACTCCATCTAACGTCTCATTCCCAGACGTTTCTTCAACAACTGCAAGAGTTATTTGGGACGTTCCGGTAGATCCTAACGGCGAAATATTGGCCTATCGTATCAATTACCAATTGCACAACAACATGGAGTCCAACTTTTCGCAAGAATTTCCCGCTTCTGTTAGAACTTACAAGTAATGTCAATTTACGAGTTTTTTTTAAAATGTTGTTTTTGTTAGAAGTTATTGATAATAGTCTAATATATATATTTTTTTTTCATTAGGGCAACTGATCTTACGCCCGATCAGTATTACATGTTCTCGGTCACGGCGCAAACACGTTTGGGTTGGGGTAAAAGCCAATTCGCTCTTGTTTTTACATCGAACAATCGAGAAATACCTCAAGCTCCTTCGTCACCCCAAATTAGTCGTAGTCAAGTTCAAGCAACACAAATTACATTTAGTTGGACGCCAGGTAGAGATGGCGATGCGCCGTTGAGATATTATACCGTCCAAAAATCTGAAGAGGTTGGGCCGTGGACCACGATTCCTGAACGCCTTGACCCTTCAGTCACTTCTTACACCGTTCAAGACTTGCGGCCGTTCACGTTATACCGATTCCGTATTCAGGCGACCAACGATATTGGTCCGAGTAGTTTTAGCCATGAATCGCCTCAAGTCAGGACTCTACCTGCATGTAAGTCTTCACTTTTGTCCTTTATTAAAGTTAATAATATTTATAAAAAAAAAAAATCTATGAAAAATTTTCCAGCACCAAGCCATCAAGTCAATAAAGTGCATGTTGTTCCTATTACCACAACAAGCGTTCAAGTTAGCTGGGGTCCGGTCGCTCCTCAATACTGGAACGGAGACACCCACACTGGTGGTTACAAAGTATTGTATCAACCTGTCACCGACATGCCCGTAGCGTTGCAAACTATTCCAAGTCAAATAATCATGGGAACCAAAGAGACGTCGCTTGTTATTGGAGATCTAGTTCGAGATCGTACTTACGATATTATCGTAGTGCCATTTAACTCTCAAGGAAACGGGCCGGCTTCTACGCCCGTGCCTGTTTATGTCGGTGAAGCCGTACCAACTGGCCAACCCAGAAGTGTTAGTGCGTTTGCAGTGTCATCAACTGAAGTACGCTTGTCGTGGGAACACCCACAACAGAATCAACAGAACGGAGACCTACTGGGCTACAAAGTAAGCGTTTTGCAAAGACTAATAAATATATGTTAGCTTTGGTCTGGATCTACAATAACTTTTTAACTACCAGACCTATTTCTTAGTGTAGAAAATCACAAAAAAGAAGGGGTACTTTAAAAAAAAAATATTTAGTTAAAAGTGATTATACCACTTTGGGTAATAACAATTATCGACTATTTGTTGACCTCTCTCCATCACTATTGTGCTGGCTTTTGTTAAATATATTTTTTTTTCTCCCAATCATTTAGATATTTTATATTGTTACTGATTCACCAAATGAACATCGAGTCGAAGAAGAAACTGAAGTTGTGCCGGCTACGTACACTAGTCATAGTTTGGTGTTTTTAGACAAGTACACCGAGTACAAAGTTCAAATATTAGCTTTTAATCCGGCAGGAGACGGACCCAGATCGGCTCCGGTCATTGTTAGAACACATCAAGTAAGTATTTTAAAATAGTTAAAACAGTTTTTTACATATATTTTACTAATATTATTTTTTTTTAAGAATCTCCCTGGTCCACCGACCGACCTTCAGTTTTCGGAGATAACCATGAACAGTCTCAAAGTGTCGTGGTTGCCGCCAAAACGCATAAACGGCCAACTCTTAGGTTATATTGTCACGTATGAAACCGCCGAACAAAACGAACGTAAGTTGTTTCGCAATTGCTTTCGAAAGTTTTTTAAATAAATTTCCTTCATAATCACCATTTATATTTTAGGATTTAGCAAACAAGTCAAACAGAAAGTCAATCAAACGTGGCTTCTTGTCCAACCTTTAGAAGAAGAAGTCATGTACACTTTCACGGTCAGAGCGCAAACGATCGATTTCGGTGTCGCTGTGAGGGGAAACGTTACGACAGGTCCTCAACCCGGTTCTCCGGCCAGTCCGCACAGTTTATCGCTTGTTAGAACCGTATCCAGTGTCGACTTAAAATGGGTTAACGGCGCCGCTGGGAATGGGCCGATTCTCGGTTACTACGTGCAAAGTCGCCGTAAAGGTAAACTATTTTATTTGTTAGCTGTTGTTTATGCTTTCAAATCAATATTTTTAAACTGTTTTGTATTTTTTTTTTTTTTTTTTTTTTTTTTTTTAATTTAATCCAGCCATTCAAGACTGGGAACATTGTAAGTTTTATTTTGTATGTAATGGAAATGTATATGTTTTGTGTTGCTTTTACGTAATGAATTTGGGAAGAATTCATTACAGTCGAATACGATTTAGCCGCACAAGCTTGGTTTAATATTTCGTAAAAATGAACAAATTTACTGTTCATATATGTTTTGTTTATTCGTTATATTTCATCAACGTTATTCGTGGCTTTGTTAAAAAAAATAATATACAAGCGAACTTAATTAAAAATTTCATTTTCACACTTTTGTGTTTGTTCAGTTGTATAACAATCTTCAGCACATTTACTTAACCAACTTTGCTTATTGTGTTAAGGACATTGATTAAGTAACTAATACCATTATGTAATCTTTTGTCTTAGATTTGGGTTAGGTTCAAAGTGAATAAGTATTAACGTTTCATGATAACTGCTGATACATTGCTTATTGTCCTAATGTAATGTAAATTTCGTAAAAAAAAATGTTTTTAATTATGGTACTAATCTATGTGTCAAATGTTGTTGCACTATGCTTTGTACGTTACACGTTTTTAGATTTAAAATTTCGATTTTTTGCCATGTTTTAATATTAGTTTTTTAACATTTTTTTAGATGACACGCGTTGGGTAACGGTGACAAAGAGCAATAACGGACCACTAGATGAGTTCTCGGTGTCTTTTCAGAGTTTACTCCCGTCCACTTCGTATTTGTTCAGAATAGTAGCGTACAACGAACACGGTATCAGTTATCCCGCTTATTCTGAAGATGTTGTAAGTATAAGAATGATTTTTTTCTTTTGTCAAATTTCTCGGCGTATTCAACTAATATATTTATATAAATAAAATTAGGTATTAACGCCTTCGAAATTGTACTTGGAGTACGGTTACTTGCAAATGAAACCGTTCTACAGACAAACATGGTTTATGGTCGCTTTAGCCGCCGCATCGTTGGTTGTGCTCATCATGGTCATAGCCATACTTTGTGTGAAAAGTAAAAGCTACAAATATAAACGTAAGTCGACGTCGACGTGTGTAGTACTCTGAACCGATCATTGTAATAATATAATTAATGATCGCTTGCAGAAGAAGCGCAAAAAACTTTGGAAGAGTCTATGGTCATGGACATTGACGACAGACAGCAATTGGCTTTGGAACTGCAAAGAACGCGCATGTCCAACAACAACACTCTTGGCCGGATGTCCATGCACAACACGTTGCACCATTCGTTGCACAGACGCAAACCGCCCATAGGGACGCTCGGCAAATCTCCACCTAGGCCGTCGCCAGCTAGCGTTCCATACCACAGTGACGACGACAGCGTCAAAGGTTACGACGAGAATCCAGATGACAGTTCAGTGACTGAAAAACCTTCAGAAATTAGTTCGACAGACTCTCAAGTACGTGAACTTTGCAAATATCCCGATCGGATTTGTATTGATTTTGTCTGATTTTTTTTTTTTTAGGGTTCCGAAAGTGAAAACGAGAGCGTCAGATCAGATCCGCATTCGTTTGTCAATCACTATGCCAACGTAAACGATTCGCTGAGACAGTCATGGAAACGACAAAAACCCGTTAGGAATTATTCTAGTTATACGGATTCGGAACCTGAAGGCAGTGCCGTGATGAGTCTCAATGGCGGACAAATTATTATGAATAATATGGCCAGATCACGTGCTCCCTTGCCGGGATTCTCGTCGTTTGTATGACGTATTAACAACCAGTGCCATCTTTACCAATCCGTCCCGTGATTTTTTTTAAACTTATGTTATTATTTTTAAGAGTTTTTTTTTTTTTTAATCATGACTTTTCCATCGGTCATCTTGATCCTATTTCAAAATTATTTTAATTGTTTTTTTTTAAATATGAAGTATTATTTTTTTCTCTCGTCTTTTACTAGACTGTTTTAAAATTACTTAGCTCTGTTATTTTTTAATTTGATCTCAATCTGTATTTCGATTTAGAAAAAGTATTTTTACTTGATTTCATGACATCGATTTGGGCTTGTTTACTACTCATAATGGTAAGACTGAGTCCGTTTTGAAGCTAGTGATTTTTTTCTTGTTTTTCATAGACATTATATGCCTGAGACAATTTTAAATACGAAAACTTTGTTATCGCGCTAAATTATTATGTAAATTTAGTTTAACTTTTTTATAAGTAATTCCCGGAATTATTTTTCTCTTGTTAAAAACAGGCTTTGCTGCTCCTGCGATAAATTATAATTTTTAATTTAAAGGATGCCATAACGTAAATTATAATTATGAAAGTATCTATTACTTTTTTGTTTATTTATTTGTAAATAACCAACACAGACTGATCGAATGAATTTGATATTTTTTTACATTCGCAAAAAGTTCTCGATTTTGTGTTCATTTCTAATTTAGTTTTTTTTATTTTTATACAAATCTTTTATGTTTTACGATGTGGCCCAATAATTATAATATAATACGAGTATAATTTCTTAGTTTTTTTTTTTGGAAAGGTCAGACGAAAAAGTTCTGATCGTGTGCACAAGTGCAAATATTACGATAAGTCAATTATCACATTACTTTTCTAATTTGTGCATACTTTTAATTAAAGCATCGAATGTCCAAAAGATCTTTAAAATGTGATATTTTTGAACTGTACTTTCGTTTTTTTCTCCAATTTACTAAATTGTTTTAAATTGAAGAGTTCAAAGAAAATAAATCTATAATATTTTGATTCATTTATTTAGACGTTATATGTGTTGATATTTTTTTTTCAAAGAACTCAAATCTTAATTTGTCCTTATTTAATGAGAAAAAAACAAAATTACAGGCCTTACATTTTTATTACAATTTTTACCTCGCGTACTTCAATAGTTTTCTTTAAAATATATTTTTTTTCCCATTTGATTTTACAATGTGAGTTACGATAATATGACATGTTTACACAGAATTCATATGTACGTAACTGTCAAATGATCGTAGCCAATCCATGTAGCTTCATTGCTCGAAACTGAACACTTTGTTTTAACAAGTGTGCGTGCAGTTAACAGATTGTTGTTTAGTTTTGACCAAAAGTGTTATTAATGGCGGGGCCTAATGGATTCTAATAGGTGGTTGGCGGCTTTGTTCTCAAACGGCAGTCTGCATCAGTTTTTTTCCAAGCACAACATTACTATTTGTTTGCGATTTTCAACAGGATTATCTATTTTCTGGTTACGTACTTAAAATATTAATTTAAGGTTTTAAAACTTTGATAGATATCATAGAGCTGAATTATTTAGGAGTTTGACTGATTTTTTTTTTTTTATTATTATTAACGATTTAGAAAATATATAAAATAAATTGTAGCGAAAAAAATGATAAGATTGTTTTGTTCTAAATTTATTACGTTCCACAAAACGTGTTGATAATTGTAATTTTCACTTCATGTATATATTTTTGACTTGTAAAGAGAACTCTTAATTGTTTTATATATTTTTGTATGTATAAATAAAATGTACACTTCATTGTATTGACCAATTATTATTAAATGTATAAAATATAGTTTAATATTTTACAAAACAAATATATTGTTTTTATTTTGTGATGACTTACGGGCAAAATGTTTAAAGATATAAAATTCAGCAAATTACCATTATTGAAAAAACTATACTTTAAATAATGTATAGTTGTACTACCAGTAACAATCTCACAAACAGTTGACAATGGCAACAAAAGTTTTGTTAGAACTATGACAACGAGATTTATTCAAATAAAAATTATAAACACATATCATTTAAATAAACTTAGTAATAAATACATTAAACTAATATTTTGTTGACAATTTCTATATGTATACATGTAATTTTTTTTTTATGTTGTTAATAATAAGTACACATCGCTGGCAAATCATTTAGTATTTTCAAAAAAAAAAAAACTGCCGTCTCGAAAATTTGTGTAAGACCACAACAAACGACGGTAAGAAGAAATAATGTTTATAAGTTACAAACATATTTTTTTACTCAGCTGTTCAAACCATTTTTCTAACGACTTGGGACATTTCTTTACATTTTGTTTACTGTACAACAATGACCATAGGGCAACTTGCGCAACATTTAACTCTTTGTCCGAAGGGTCGATCAAGTTGCATAACTCGGACAAACGATCTATTGATGAGTATTTGATTGTATATATCGAGTCCAAAACTTGGTCGACATTTACTTGATCGGTAATGGACAATGATTCTGCGGTCAAATACCGATCAAACAGTCGTATTAGAGATACTTCACCGATTAATGAGTTTGCAGGTGATCTCACAATTACTGTACTCGGTTCGGCTAAAATAATACAAATCGATAGTATTAAATAAAATGCCAAAATCAATTTTATTATTGTAATATGTAAAAAGAAAATATGTAACACCGAAACTTACTATGCTTCCAAATAACGATAACTTTTACAGTCTTTACGTTTGGCACGCTTGAGTGCCAGTTTTTAAATACATTCAATTTATCAGACACCACTTTTGAGTCGACAGTGAGCGATGAATGAATATGATAAGTAATATCCCATGAAACCGACGACCATAGAAGTGGGAGCGCTAATAATGAATACGGTGGGTCTTCAGGGTCAGCACAAATAACTGTATCGGTCTAATTATAAATAAAAGAAAATTATTATTAAATAATAAGCAATACATATTGTGGTTAATGCTTACTTTTGTCAGTTCAGCAATTTTTTTATTTATCTCGGCTGTCGGTATTTTTTCGTGCTTTTTACTAATAATTTTTTTTGACGGCTGAGTCGATTGTTTTTTAACAACTGACGGGGGTTCAACTTTTTCTGATTTAGGAAATTGTGGTTCTAAATTGTTTACCCTGATTTCAAGTTCTTCCAATGTTTTTAGTACTTCATTTTGTTTTTTTAAGACTAATTCAATTTCTCTGTCGGTCAATTGGTGTATTTCTTCAATTATATCCTATAGAAAAAATACACTTAATATAAATGATATGATTACATGATTATACTCAGAGAACTTGTTACCATGCTTAAAAATGTTTGAATAAATATATAAATAAAATATAAAGTTATGTATTTTTCTATAAGTTGCAATTTTGATATTCGGTCGTTAATTGAAATCTCATTGCCTGGGTTTGGTAACATTCAATTTAGATGTTTTTGTATCCCGCTTGCCCTTAAAAATAATAGAGATTTACAAAACGTGTTGGTTCTTTTTAAGGAACTATTTAAAGTAAAAATTAACTTGGCACCCATTAAATGAAGTCGGTGATTAAGTAACCGCAATAGATTTTATGACCCACTTTGGAAGCGTTATACATCAGTGATTGGAATGCGTGTTAGGATATTGAGGGAATTATCAATGCAAACAATAATTTGTCTTACAGGTTTAAATAAATAACAAAACATTAGTTTTCATGGTAACATACATACTGTTTAAAAAATAACTCACATAATTTTATTTTTGAAATATTTTTGTGTATTAATACTGTATTAACCCTATTGCAAAGCCCGTAAATGCATTTATAATTAACATTATTTCGGAACAAGTAAGTGTGAACCGCAACATCAATTTAGATACCACCTCTAATCAATCGAATTAACGAAAAATACAACGCGTAAGATCAGAGTTTGAATAATTTTTTAAGCTATTGTCGCATTAATAATAATTATAATAATGTAATTTTCTCACCTTGTCGGACTTATTAAACATTTTAACGGCGCTCTCATGTAAATTTTTTAGCTTGTACATGGTACAAGTGCTCTTAATTTCTAGAGGAACGTTAAACACTGGCTTTAACTTGTACATCGTTTTTATTTTCGATTAGGGACACGATTATTAAATATGATTAATTCACGTAAGTCGTCAATGGTTTAAAAAACTGTAATTATTCTTCGCGACAGAATCAGAAAAACTCAAACCGCTGCGGTTAAAACGTGTCAGTGTGTCGAACACATAGATATGTATAGGTCGAGCATCAACAGTATAGGTATTCGATTTTATTGTTGGAAAAGGTCGGTTTTTCTGTTATCACAAATGTGTTCTCCCGCTATCAACTGCTGTTCATAGTTGATAACGTCCGTGCGCAGGGTAGCCAACGTCACGGAACGCGCTTGACCGATTTCCGCGGTTTTTCGGGAAATCGGTGAAAATCCTCGAGCGGTAAATGAGTTTTTCAAATTCCAAAAGTCCACCTAACTTACCGGTGACCGCACCGACGTCCGGCAGCCGTCTGAAAGCTGTTGTCCGGACGGTGGCCAACGGTCGACGAGCCGTTCGTTACGCGGCCATCTATTGGCCGACTTCAGCGGCAGTTTTTCCGGCTGGTTTTTCGACGGCCAGCCAGCCGCCGGTGGACGACGGACGGCTGGCCCAGCCGGAACGGTGGACGACACGGCAAAACGGTTCCGATGAGAAACCGCGGCCGACCAGTTACCGGGCCGGTGGCACAGAGACGTCGCGGCCGCGGCCGTTGGCGGCTGGCAAAAGTGAACGGCGCCGACCAATCGGGTGCGCCGTTACGTAGCGCAGGTAAAAAACAGTTCATGGCAAAATCCGTCGACTGAGCTGGTACGCGTCACATTGTGCGGACGGGAGAAAAAAAAAGAGATAAATTTTGTGTCTTGTTTTTTTTTCCGTTTCGTTTTGTTTACGAACGTGTTAATATAGGTACTATTATATACTTGACGAAGCGTGCCCGTGCGTACTTGCTTGCAAGCGAACAGCCCGCCTTGTGTGTGCGTGTGTGTGTGTGTGTGTGTGTATGTGTGTGATAATAATGTTTTCGTAACGGAATCTGGAATACCGTGTACGATGATGTCGCGAACAATCGCGTTTGGTGTTTTTCGCGAAGGTCACATGACCAACGTCTCGGGCAGTCGCCGCCAAAACTAGTAGTAGTAGTAGTAGTAAATAATAATAATAAATTAGTATATATATCGAGTTGTCCGTTAATCGCCGAGTGATCAGCCTGACAACGCAATCATCGCGCGCGCATCTTCCTGCTGCCAAAAGGGGGCAGACACTGATTATACAGCGACGACAACGACCGATACAATAATAATAATAATAATAATAATCACAGTATAGGTATATAAGAATTTATTTATTTTGTTTTTGTTGTGGTGTACTCGCGCGCCTTCAGTGCGTGTGAGCGTTAACGGTCGTAAGTGATAATACGCCGACGGTGGATCATTGTGGCGCGCAATGTCTGGCAGGCCCAAGCGCAGGGGCCGTCCCCCGAAAACCGGCGGGACGGACAAACCGAAATTCCAAATGCACTTGTTGAAGAAGCCCAAGTACTTGCAAAACGCGGACACGACCGTCGTCGCCTCTCCAGTGCCCGCAGCAGGTACTCCTACGGCGTTGACGGGCCGTGCAGCATCACGCCGTAGCGTCCAGGCATCGGTACGATCGTCGCCCGGTGTCACTCCGACGAGGGCCACTCGACGAGCCAGTCAAAAGTGTACGCCCAAATCGGTCGCCAAACCCAAGACTCCTCGAGCACCTCCGTCGACCAACTCTAAGAAGAAAAAAGCCGCTGACAAGGCTAATGAGTATCACTATGGTTCCGATTTCGAAGAGTCCGAAAAGTCAGATTTGTCCTCGGACAGTGACCAATCCGACACCAATGTGGAAGACGTGGACGACGTCAGCGATAGTGATTTTTCTCTGTCTGGATTTTCGGTCGCCAGCCGAGCGCGTAAGAGTAACGTCTCTTACATTCGTAATCCTAGCCCTGAACCGTTGTGGGTTAGAGATGAAGAAATTCCCAAACTGGAATTGCCTAAATCGTCCGAAGATCTTCTTGTGCCTACTGAACACGTAATGCAATCGTTATGTATTTACGAAGTATTAAGGCGATTTAAAAGCCAGGTAATTTCTCCATTTGATAATTGGCTATGATTCTAGTTTCTAAGGTTTAAAATATACAGAAGCCCTATGTATTTCATTTTTTTGTCAACTAGAATCTTTTACAATGTTTAGTGCAACAAACTCTTAACTTACGTTTTACATTTCAGGTACGATTGTCACCGTTCCGGTTTGAAGATCTATGTGCAGCTCTGATGTACGAAGAGCAAAGCTATCTTTTAGCCGAAATACACATGATGCTCTTGAAAGCTATTCTGCGTGAGGAAGACTTACTGCAGACTCATTATGGAGCTATTGATCAAAAGGACAGCATCAATAGTATTTTGTATTTCATGGACACTATCACTTGGCCTGAAGTGTTAAAAGATTATATCGAATCTGATAAGTCATTCGATCCTAAGGTGTTGAAAGTGTTTAATAACGGAGACGAGTATCCATTTACTAGTGTTAAAAACCGATTGACGGTATTGCAGTTTTTGACTGATCAGTTTTTAACCACTACACCCATACGTGAAGGTTTTGTACCTGAAGGTAATTTTCAATTATATTAGCTTGTAGTTGTTTTTGTTTTTCGTGTACTAACTATGTGTGGTTTTATATTACAGGCCATAGTTTCCAATATGATGACCATTGCCGAGTGTGCCATAAAGTAGGAGATCTTTTATGTTGTGAAACTTGTCCGGCTGTTTTTCATTTGGAATGTGCAGAACCACCATTGCACGATGTTCCTACAGAAGATTGGCAATGTAATTTGTGTAAAGAGCATAAAATCATCGGAGTTTCCGATTGTACTCCAGATGATGAGAAATCTGGACTATCGTCCCGCCAAGAACACATAGCATATGATCGTCATGGTCGTAAATATTGGTTTCTAGTCAGACGAATTTTCGTGTAAGTTAAAAAAAAATATCACAAACAAAGATTTGTTCTTGTTAATAAATAACTTATTATTTAAAAAAAGTAAATAAATATCTGTTGTCATGTTATTAAAAAAATAATCTTTGTTAATTTTAAATAAAGTTTTTAAATTATGTGTATCAATTGTATAGCGAAAATGAGGAGACCGGTGAATGTTGGTATTATACGACGGAAGAGCAGCTTGGTCTTTTGATGGATTCTTTAGATCCTGAAATGGAATCTGTTTTATATAATGAAATAGAAAAAAGTAGAGAGGAAATCAATCGACAAATGAGAATAACTATGAATCTTACTTCTCAATATAGACCATCAAATAGGAAATCGTTTTTGGAGATGGAAAACAGTAAGCGTTTTTTAAATGTTTTGTTTATGTAAATAGTATGATTAAGTATAATACTCGGATCTTATTTTCAGGTAGTATTATTGCAATGAGAGAAGAAATGAAAAAGAAAAAAGAAAACGAATCCGAACAAAACACCAGCAACGATAATAGTATTAATTCTAAGGACGATGAATTGAATCAGTCTTGTAGTACTGAAAAAAATGACAATACAAATGAAGCTAATAAAAATGGTATATTCATCATATATTCGACCAAATTGTAACATTTATGTATTTTTATTTAAAATTTCTTCCTTAGACAACAACGAAACTGATCGAAAATATGAAAATTCAATGGATGTAGATGAAGCAATTGTGGATGGCCAAAGTAATTTTTAATCATTCCTCGAAATTCGTGAAAATTTAAATAATCTTTTTTTCATATTTATTTAGGAGTCACACGTAACCGATCCTTACGACCGAGAACTACTTCATTGACTCCCCGACAAACGCCTGAACAGCCAAAAAAATCTACTATGGAGAAACAATCTCCTGTTCACTCCTATATAGAAAATATTGGAGCTCGATTGACGAGATTCAAAGCTCAACACATAGCAGCCGGGACTTATCTGTACAAACTTGGTATGGATAACGGCTTCAAGACTTATGTAAATCAATATAGCTCAAACCCAACGGCATTAAATAAAATCCAAAAGAACGAAGAGCGAGATAAAAAGAGATACATGTCTCATAAATTTTCGTTAACAGGTCCTGGTGAATTTAAATGGAGTGGCCAAACAATTGGTAAGCTTTAAAATCGGTTTTCATAAATTTTAAAATTTTACTATAATAATGTACAAAACAATTTTTAGGATCTAAAACGGCACTCATTAGTACAGTGAAGCAAACTATTATTGCACTGGACAACGCTTTGCCAACATCGTTGATGCATATTAATTGGCCATTGTTGCGTAAACCTTGGTTAAATCAAGTCAATTCTTGTACCTCTCCAAAGGACTTTGCAAGGGTTATAGTTGTGTTGATGTCTTGTATTAAACCGGTTGTCTACGCTTCAGTATGGCATGAACAACTCGGTATGACGAAACAATATTATGTGATTTTTTTTTAAACTTTTTATATTTGTTTGGTTTTTCATTCGTTATCGTTTGTAGGGCATGTAAAACTTTATCGAATCACTCACGCCGAACGGGAAGAAAGAAAAAAGACTGACAAAAAAGATAAAAAGGAAAAAGATGCCGAAGAAGATGAACGTAATAGGCTGACGATTAATTTTGTTAAATACACGCTTGGTCTAAAACATCAGGTACATGAAATTGAATATAATTTTCTTTTATTAAAAAACCACATCTGTACAAACGTTATATACAATATAATACAGTCATTGTGGGGAAGTTAACATAAGGCATTGGATATAATAAGAATTTTAAATAGAATTTCTTCGATGTTTTGATGTGTTTTTTCTATTTCGGTCTATAGGTCCATAAACAAAAAGGTGAAGAATACCGAATCCATGGCCAATGGGGATGGCAATGGCTATCTAAAACACGAGACTATAAACTAGCAGATGCGTCAAAACAGGGTTTGGCAGCTGGCCCTGCTAAAAGAATCTTTCAGGGTAAAGGTGAGTGTCAATTAAATTTTTTAGAATTCATTTTTTCACCTATTACTTTTAATATTAACACACATTTTTTTCATTTATATTAACAGATGAAAATGGCATTCAAACATTTTCCATCCCAGAAACATTGTACGAATCTGTAATTACTAAAGAATGCTTGTTTGATTCAGAAGTATCATGCGAAATTTCTAACAATCAAAATGTTACTCATTTAGATAATGTTTCTGGTAAGTTCAACAGACATCACTTGTCGAACGAGGACTAACACATTGTTATTGTTTCAGATATTGATTTTTCTAACTTGAAAATTCTTACGCCCGTCGACAAATTAGATGATGACATAAACTTGAGCAGCGCGTTGTGGTCGACTAGTCGCATATTATATCCAAAGCTCGCTAAAAAATGTAAAACCGACATGTTGCTACCAAGGAGAATGCAGTTAAAGATAGGCGAAGAGCGATCGTTAATGGCTAAAAACCAGCCAGAGCAACCACCGTCTGATGTAATACTCAAGTGGAGAGTTGAAAAAGTTATCAACTGTCTTCTAATCTTTGCTTGTTTTGCTTTGTAGGCTAACAAAACTACAACTGCCGCCAGTGCCCCGGAATCGGCAGAATTACTTGCCAAAATGCGTGAAAAATCGTACATGTTGAGTACACTACAAAAACGAGTGATCGAGTTAAAACAACATTACCTATCTTTTAACACCATGTCCGAGCACATGATATGTTACAACAGAAGTTGCAGAGCAGCGAACAAGTCCAGTATGACGGCTTCATGTTATAGTCCACTTTGTGTGAGACACGTTAATGTTAGGAATGAGCTACTTGCATTGTTACGTAGGATGAATGTTTTGAAATCTGAATTAACTGGTAAGTGTGGACATATTTATTATTGACAATTTTCGTGTTCACTATATTGGTAACTTTATAATTTCAGATTTGAAAGCGCTGTTGCCTAAAGACCAAATCTTGTCATCAAATACTATTAAGACTGAAAATGTTCAACCTACAAATCCTCCAACCGAGGTAAAGCCTAGTACTGTAGTTAAGATTGAGGAAGTGAAAAAAGACGAAAACGCCGATGGAAAATCAGAACAAGTGAATGTAGTAAAACCAGACAATGACACAGTTGTTAAAACTGAAGTTACTACTACCACTGAACAAAAAGAAATCAAGTGTGAAAAGACCGAAGAGGTAAATCAAAAGTCGGACGCCACGAGCAGCCCATCAGGGTATGTAAAGTTTTAGTCATTTATATTTTAGTAATATTACTAATGTTCTATTTTGCTTATTGATTTTGTAGACAAAGCGTAATGAAACCAGCAAGAAAGAGAGGTGGTGCCAAGCGTGAAGGTATATTAATTGACTGTGTGGATGACGGACGTGTGTACTCAACAAGTGACACTCGAAAAAAAGTAAGTTGGACATTTTGTTGTTTAACGTTTTCACTAGTATGGTTTTATCAACGTAAATTTTAATATATATTTATTTTCTAGATTTATTTAAAGAAACTTCCTATGAACTCAACCAATGTCCGTAAGAAGCCAGAAAAAATTAAATACCCTCCAACATCGCGATTCTATACACGTAACAAAAAATGTAGTTTACTAGTATTACCAAAACATGAACTCCGTAAATTAGCAAGGCACGCGGGACTTGACGTAATCAACGGTTTCAATCCAAATGCCAAAGTATGTTGTTATACTTTTATCAGCCTATTTCCACAGTTGTTTTATAATTATAACGATAAACCATTTTCAGACTAATAACTCCATGTGGCCTTATCCTTGTTCGAGGCCCTATTTTAAAACTTGCTGGCTGTACAGAACAATTACATTTAATACCATATCGGCCGCTGCGTTGCAATTGAGAATACTGTGGGCATGTTTGAAGTGGGACGAATTGACTGCTAAAACTGCTCATCTGGCGAGCAAACGTGAAGTTACAACTGAAACTGAGTTGGTCACAACGGAGACACTCGAATGTCGAACATCTGGACAATTTAACGAGCGCACTGAATACTTAATACGCAAAGTTGTTATACCATTAGATATACCAAGACAAGTTAGAGGTCCGTAGTAGTTTACAACTATAAATACAGCGTTTTACAGGAAGTCTATATGTTTTTTTTTTTAATAATTGATGTCTGTTATTTGTAGAAGTAACGCCTATAAGGAGTGGTTTAAGGAAACGCAAAAGAGAAGAAGCCCCTAGAAATACAGCACCGCAAGTGTCCGAAGTATGGGTTGACGAGAGTAAATTAGAACTTGTTGAAATAAAACAGTTCCACGAAAGGTAGAAGTTGAGGTAATATTGTTTTCATACTCTAGTTAACACTGTGTTTTTGAATTTTTTTTTAGAGTTGAACGAGAACTGCAAATGCAACAAGCCATGAAGACTCGTGCGGCTACTGCCTTTTCAAATAGACATGTAGGTAACGATTCTCACAACAGAAGTCCTTACGATAAACAACGTGTACAGAATTCTGAAACGTCAGAAAATATCAAAGAACAACTTGAACAGTCACTCAGGGCTCAGCGTTTAGCGTACAAACGATCTTCGACGTCCAATGATTTGAATACTCCCAACAAGAGATTGTGTTTGGACACGTCAAACTCGCAAACTCCTGTCACAAGCAGCACGACACATCGCATGAAGCTTGTGCCTGGTGAAGGTGGACGATTGAGACTGATGCCGAATAATAAACCAACTGGTCAGAGCCCTAATTTAACACAAAACTCTCCCAGAGTCGCTGCCAAATCTACTACACCGGCTACTCGTCGTATATTCATGACTAAATGTATGTTTTTGTTCGTAAAATGTTTAGAAATGTAATATATTATTAATATATTTGCATTCTTCTTCTGCAGGTCCAGATGGCAAAACCAGAATCGTAGCTACTCCAAAAGCAATAATAAGTGATGGAAGTGTAATAAATCAAAATACCTTAAAAATTCAATCTAGCAACCCTCAAATAATAACAAGTAATTTATTAGTTTATTTAATATTAATTTCTATTCTATTTTGTTATTTGTATTATTAGCAAACACCATGACTCAACAGAAATTACAGTGCATTAAAGGTGAAGATGGTAAAATACAAGTGAAAGGTCTTCTACCAGGTACAATATAATGGGGTGTTTCATTTTACCTTAGGCATTATACTTAGAAAATTGTATTTTTTTTGTAGGACAACAATTAATTCAGTTGCCTGATGGAAAATTACATGTCACGACTAGTTATGTTAATCAGTCTTCGTCTCCACGAACAGTACAAATAACCAAAAATGCTTTGTTGGCCAACAATAATAACTTCAGCAAAACTGGAACTCAAGTAAGTGTTCCTTCTTTTACATTAATTCTTTAATAAGTAAAAATGTAAAAACTATAATTGTTATTTACAGACATTGATATTGAACCGAGGGCAACAACAAGTATTAAAACCTCAATCGTCTCAGGTAAATGATACAATTCAATTTCTTTAACATAACATCACAATTTAAAGCAAACATTTTTTAATTGTTATGCATATGTGTGTGTGAACAGGTTGTTGTCTCTGGTGGTCAGCTAGTAAGTGTCTCGCAGGGTCAACAAATGATTGTCCAACAACTGAATCCCACTAAAGCGACTATAGCCACTATTAATGGTCAACAAGTTTTAATACGACCCAATACTGGTAAGAGTTAACATTTTAAACATTTCAATAAAAATATTAGTTGTGCCTAACTTTACATTTAATTTATATAGGAAATACTGCTAACATATTAAGCAGTGGTAGCCAGACAATAAAATTGATACGACCCCAACAAACGATTCAAAAGATTAATCCCGCTGTGCCTCCATTAGCTCCTCGTACTTCTCAATCTACCACTCATGTAAGAATTTGATTTTAACTCTTTATTCATTAAGCTAGTTATATTCAATATGTGTTTATTTTACCGATAGGAACAACAAACTGCTAACACGCTGGCAAACAGTGTAGACGAACAAGAAAAATTATTGTTGGCCAATCAGCCCCCCGGTACCGTTATCAAATGTATCACTGCACAAGTTATACAAAGTCCTACCCAGGGCAATAAGATTGTGTTGCAAGGTTTACAAGGAAATGATTTTACACCTCAACAACTTCAACTTGTGCAGCAACAAGTCAAGCAACAATTGTTAAAAGGTTAGTATAGTGAGTCAACATATTACGACTGATTGTTCTTTAACTGGTTTTTATGTTGTATTTAGCTCAAGAATCTAGCGGTACACAAGGGGTGTTAGGTCCTACGAAAATCTATCTCGCTGTACAACCTCCCGATTCTCATAATTCATCCACGCCCACAACTAAAACATCCAATACGGCATCTTCAGCTCCAACCCTGACACCTGCACAGACGACAACAAAACCAGTTGAAATAGCCCCGCGTCCAACTGTGCCTGAACTTAATAACACATCAGAAAATTTGACTGTACCTACTGATATTCCATCAAACAAAGGTTTAATAATTAAAGAGGAAGTAGATGATTCTACAAACTCGTTTGTAGTAACGCCGAACTACATTAGTCAAAGTGAGTGCTTCGTGTTTTTATTAGTAATGAACCACTATATTACAGTAATAATGTTATTTATTGTAATTTTATAGCGATTAAAAACGTTTTAAAAAACGAAGACTTAAATCCAGAAACGCAAGAGAAACTGTTGCAGCTTCAAAAATACCAAGAGCAAAAGTTACGTGATCCTGTGCCAGTACAAACAGTGTCCTCGTCTACAGTGAAACGATCGCATGATGCAAACGATACCGATTTAGAACCACCGAAAAAAATTGCTCAACGTGAAAACTCAGGGTACCTACTTATTATTATCTAAGTAGTTGTGCAAGCTATATGCCAAATTTACCAAATTGGTAACTGGTTAATCATTAAAAAATGTTGGCGAATACTACAGCGTATTTTAATTTAAAATAAGATATTATTTCTATCGCTTTGTCTGTTACAATTTATTTTTTATTTGCTTGTGTAGGTCGATAGTACCTCCTGAACAATCAAAATTATACCAAACATTGAAACAAGGCGAAGATCGTCGAAAACTGCAGCAGCTCCAATCAAAACTCCAGGTTAGCTTGTTCAAACAGAAAGAGCTATTGAAAAAAGATATATTAAAAAAACGGGCGCTTCTGGAAAAAGAATTGCAGATTGATATTCAGGTATGTTGTTCCAAATAATGTTTTCTCGAAGTTCGGCCTGATCGAAATTCCTGACAAACATCATATCCTGAATTTCGATCCTCAATTCCGATTCCAGAAATACCGTTGGTAAATTTTATTGCAGCTTGCGGAAGACAAAAATATTTGCCATAATGGCTTTTAGTGGCAAGTCATTGTTGGTTTCTTAATTCTAATAAAATACTTGACATTTTACAGAATGAAATAGCCGCCAACGTAACGGTTACTTCTGCTGACTCTACTACCACTACAAACAAAGTTACTGAAAAGTCTCCCACGCCTTTACTAGCCACACCTCCCCCTCAAGGGAGCAGCAAACGAAAACACGCTTCAGGGCCGCCAACCACCATACAGACATCACCTCATCCAAATAGTAATTCTAAAATCAACAACTCGGGACCTGGACGAAGACGAGTTATTAAAAATTCACCACCTACGCCTAATAAAAATAACTCTAGACCTTCGATGACACCGACTCGCAAAAGTTCTAGTCCTAAAAAGAATAAAAAAGAAAAAATAATGTGTATATGCCGTACTCCTTATGATAGTTCCCAGTAAGTGACAATTTGAAAATTAACATTCCATACATCTATTATATTGTATTTGGTTTCATTCGTCAGGTTTTACGTCGGTTGTGATATGTGTCACAACTGGTTCCACGGCTCCTGTGTTGGCATTACCGTGCAAATGTCTAAAAAGATAAGTGAATGGTTTTGTCCGGAATGCAAACGATCCAAAGATCCAGAAGTTCTTTATTGTATATGTAAAAAACCGTATGATGAACAACAGTAAGTCTTACTGTAATGTTTGTGTACAAAAATAAGGGCCTGGTTTTAAATTTATTTTTAACTTCTATAGATTTTACATTTGCTGTGACAAATGTCAGGATTGGTTCCATGGAAGCTGTGTTGGCGTTTTACAATGTGAAGGAGATAAAATGGATGACTACAATTGTCCCAAATGTATGCCCGACTCAGAAATTAACTTCGCCAACCTAAACCCATTAAATCAAAACGATAACGAAGACTTGACTAAACTCATCAAACAAATACAAGTAATTATAAACGAGCTCTTACAATATTTTATTTTGTCCTGATGATATTCAACCAACACTTTACTAATGAAATGTTGATGTTTCAGGCTCATAAAAGTGCGTGGCCATTTATGGATCCAGTTGATCCACATGAAGCTCCTGATTATTACACTGTAATTAAAGACCCTATGGGTAAGTCGGCCACATTGGTTTTGTGTATAAATATTTATTTTAAAAAAAAAATCCCTTTATTTATAATTGTCATTTTTTTCAGATTTAAACTGTATTGGTAAAAATGTAGGAGATAAAAAATACAAAACGCTCACGGAATTTATTCGTGACATGATCAAAGTATTCGACAACTGTAGATTTTATAATCCTCGAGAATCACAATTTTACAAATGTGCTGAAATTTTGGAGCAGTTTTTTGTATCTAAACTGAAGAATTTCAGAGATAAATTATGTGAACAATACATGGAAGCATAATGATTTTTTTTGGCACATTTGCTGATCTTCACGTTCATGTTTTGATAATTGCTATTTGTTTTTTTCATATATTATAACTATTATTTTATTGATTTACAATTACATATAACTGTTTTTTCTTCTTGCAAATAAAATAATGATTGTACTTTTAATTAATATTTTATTCAATTTTATAATTTATTAATTTATTATTACTGCAATAATTGTTGATTTAACAGGGAGAAAAAATTGGTATTTTTAATTAATTTTATTGTTCGTTTGGATGGCCCTATATATTATACGGACTGATATTATTTATGCCTTAAAAAACATAACGTAATTCTAATTTATATAATGTGAAACTACGTTATTGACATAGTTCAAATCGATTATATTCAGTCAACAATTTATTATGTAATTATGTGTATATAAGCAATTGTAACTAATTTTTTATACACTTTTTTCTCTATATATATATATATATTTTTATACTTATGAATGATAATATATTGCACTAATAACAGCTCGAAGCGCTCAATCCAAATGAAATCAGAATATATTTTGTAGTAGTAATGTACAGATATATATATATATATATATAAAATAAAGTAATATTAATAAAAAAGAAGAAAATTGTAACACGAACAAACACGCTCATGTTCGCGACATTGTTATTTTAATAATATAATTTATATTATATTATTTATTAATGCTTTAATTAAACTTCAAAACATGTTCAAAAAACCAAAAGTAATAAAAAAAATGTTTTATTAAATTATCACACTGTATAAAGTTATTACAAGCAAGTAGGATCTATGTAAATTTTATTTTTATTTTTTTTTTTTTGTAATAAAAATAAACTAAATGCAGTTATACCCTTGCTTGTTTAAGGGTACATTATTTATTTTATTTCCCATAATTTTTTTTTTATTCTTTTTTCGTCATTGCATTGTATTAATGAGGTAGAAAATTAACATTTAGGTTTTTTCTTAAAAATATTTTATTGTAGTTATTAATAGTTATTATGATTTTTAATTGTTTACATTTTGTATATACATATATAAAAAAAACATCAAATTCCTAAAAGTCGTTTTCTATATATTTTTATTTAAAATTGTTTTGCTCTACAGATATATGCTGTTTGGTAGACAAAAGTGTTAGATGGATAGACGTGGCGTTTGATTTACTGCCGTCTGACAGTTATATGTATGTGTAACACTTAAATTAATTTCATTGGTATGGCCCCTTTTCACACGGCAGAATCCCCTTTATTTCCTCGATGGAACCTTCATTTACACTAGTTTAATTTTAAGTTCACAACACTGAATTAGAATTACACTCAATTACAAAAGGGGAGAAAGAATACACGGGAAATAAAAACATATTGCATTAGATAATATTTTCATTAATGAACAGAAAGATTAATAATATTACTAATGTAAACGTTTCATTTGTATTGGCTTAAAACAAGCAAATATTTTTTTTTAATATAAAAGCTAATGTTCTCCAACATTTCTAATAATATTTTTATATTACTTGATAAAAATGTTTGAAAACGAAACGTTAAGTTTGTATTTTCGACAAAACTTTTGTACATATTAATATAACGAAATTGTGTTATGTGCGATCAAGACAATTTCAAGCGATTTTAATATAATATTATTGTCAGTTAAAATGCTTGCTGAGGAAATATATTGTTAAGTAGTTAGTTTTTAACAAGATAATACCTTGAACATAATCTTATCTATTTTTTTCCACAGTTCTAATTATGCCACTAAGACGTAGGTACTAACGTAAGTAACAATTGTTGCCACATAAAAAAGTCTATTGAAAACATTTAGTTACATCATAAGACCAAAAATTCAAGCTAGCCCTTTCATAGACATTACAGTTTGATACACCGCCATTGTTCATAAATCACTGAAATACAATTACCAAATTTTTTAAAGATATTCATTTGATATCAATATCTGTCAAAAACTGTAGTTAAAATTACTTTCGTTTTCCTATTGAAGGAGTGGAACATTTTTTTTCTTGGGTATTTTGGTTTTGGACTTAAAGTAACAACAGATAGCAGAGTTCCAAAAAATTACTCTATAAATGATTTTTCTAATTTATGCCAATTTATTTTACCTACTCCACGTGTTAATATACTTCTATTCAAGATTAATAATGGCAATTATAACTCCTAGGAATTAAGTTTCTACTTTCTAGTTATTTTTGCACACTGGAAATAAAAATTGTTAGAATAACATAAACAGCTTGTTAGTTCAATACAGCTAGTCGAATAATTTAATAAGTTGATTTTAATTTTTTTGTCAAACATAATATTATAATTTATACCATAAATAATAATACGATATTACCTATTTCCGGTTACTTACCGGTTTCGTTCTAGGTCAATGTCGGGTGTAAAAATATCCATGTTTTTATAATTTTATCTCATTAATATAATATATCATTATGAGTTATGTGATACGTCGATACCGAATATACACAATAGCTATTATGCCTATATGGTATAATACTGGGTGATTGGTTAACTAAGATCCAGTCGTATAACTTAAGATATTAGACTTTTTTTTTATACCTGTATAGTTATTAGTTAGGACAAATTTAATATATTAAAAAATATAAATAAACCCATCCCTTATATGTTAAACCCATATGAGCTTAAGTTTCTTATATAATAACGTACATATATTTGATTAAAAGTTTAAAAGTTAGGACGGAAGAGGAAGTGCGGTTGAGTAATGCGAGCAGACAAAATTATCTCTACTCTCCGCCCTTCCACCCGTCCTAAATTTTAAAGCTGAATAACCGAAAATAATTATTCAAAACTGGTTATCGACCAGTCAAAGTGTTCAGCAAATTATTATTTATTCTGAATTTAAAAAGTTAATCAAAAACAATATGTACGGTACAATTTAAAAATCTTAAGTTCATACGGTTTTAACATATAAGGGATGGAGTTATATATTTTTTAAATATATTAAATTTGTCCCAACTATATTATACTACTTATAACTTGTATAATAACTATAAGTGTATAAAAAAAAAACTGTAAAAAAAAATTATAAAAAAAGTGATTTATACGACACGAAATTATTTGCAAATAAATATATTACTGTTATTATCATTGTAAATGTTTTTGCTTCATATCGGAGTAAACAAACGAACTCGGCGTAACGAATTCACACGATTAAAAATTACTATTTATGTTGATATTTCGTTTAGTGTTTTATTATCATATTTTAGCGTTGCATCGCATACAGTTGTTATTTCGAGCTTTACCGCACTCTGCCTTCGCAAGCTCTCGTGGCTGTTTCCCCCGACAGTTTACCGCGGTCCGTCCACAGCAACTGCGTGTGCGAGTCTATGGCGATCAGTTGCTCATCGATCGCCGCCCAAAACGGGCTACCGTCGCACACCAAGCTATATAACGTTGTAACAATAATACTATTATTGTCCATCAACAACAACGCGGTATTCGAATAAATAGCAAACACGCGCAATAGTAGTTTAATTATAAGTTCCAACGCAGACCGTTTTGGAATAATAACGCACACTCGAAAGTACACAGCTTTCAGCAAAACCCATGTATCGGCTGCAAAGATTCGCCGTTCCGGCCGCCTCGGCTAAACGCCTTTTGAGCGAGCAAAGTGAGTTAACAATTAATACAAAAATATCGTACATTACCCAGATCGGGGGGCGAGTCACGCTCAATATTATAATGTTTTTGGTATTTAAAATTGTAGGGGAGGGTGTCTTCAACTTGTACTATTACGATGTATATAAATATATTGTTAAAAAAACCAATAATTCTGTGGACAGGGGAGGTTAAAGCGTACGGACAGAGTGGGCATATATTGCCTGTACCAATTTTATTTTTTTTGTTTTTGACTGTAAGTTTAATTTATTGTCAAAAAAAAAAAATTTTTTTACCATAATGTAGTATATCTCTAATACGACGTAATGTGATCCAACGTTGTAAAATATGTTATTGTAAGCTTATTGTATGTATATTGTTTTTATTTTAAGAAGAAGAAGTAGGTCTATTTTTTTCATTTTTTTATTAATCTCTAAACTTAAAGAATTTCCAAAGTTATCCGTTAAATAATTATAAAAATAATCCATATTACGCGATCTTGAATTTTGAATTTTTTTTTGAAAATTTATAAAAAAAAATGTAAAACATTAAAACAGTTAAGATTAATATAAACCGTGGTGTTTATAGCCCAAATGAGTATAAATTAACTAAAAATAAAAATATTCACTAGAACTAAAAATATTTCATTTGTCAGGTCTTTGTTTCAGGACTCTCTGTGTTTAATATAATACTTGTATATAATATAATAATTGTGCATTATAGACACTAAACCTAGTTACAGTTTTTTTTCGAGTGCAACAAAATCGATATAATAATATCGAATGTTTTATTATTTAATAGTTTAACGACTAGATACGGGACAGACATTGACTATACACTCGATAGGACATTGTGAATATGATTAATGTTGACTATTTGAGTGGCATTATAATACATTTTCAAACGTATTTGTGTGCAAACAAAATGGACTAACAGAATATTAGAAATGAGCATTTGCTATTTAATTATAGAATCATTAAACAATAGACTCGTTTTTTAGGAAATTACAAAATAATAATAATTATAATGTCTTAACCTTCATAGTCAATAGATAATTCAAGTGCTTTGGAGTAAATATATGCTAATAGGTCAAAGGTGGCAGCGAGTAATTTAAATACGTTTTAGCTACTCCAGAAAGTTATAACAATTAATCGCCGTCAATTATCAGACAATAGACTAAAAAGTTACATCTTTTTCATATAATTTTTTTTTTTCGAAAAAACTCCAATAAAAAACAATAGGTACATAAGATAACAGATTAAATATTTAATCTGTCAAATATAATCATAAACTTTATTTTAATTTGGTTGAAACAAACTAGATAATATAATTAAAGTGCTTGTAATGTTCAATTTAAAAAACAAAAATTAGAACCAAATCGAATTCTGGTTTCCCATAATGAAAACGTTAAGCTTAATTACAAAAAAAAAAAAATAATAATTTTTGGTAGGCGTTTTTAAAACTTTTTAATTAAAAGTGCTGCTGGGAAAAGAATCCTTGCAATGAGCTGAGCTGTTGCTTTTTTGGGCTAAACCTACTTAAATAAAAAAATAAAAAATCCTTGTTGAACTTTTAACTGTTTATTTAATGTTAAATTTAATTTATATTAAGGAGATTGAAAGTGGTCTGTTTTTTACCGCTTTAATCCAAAAAGCCTGTCAACATTTCGACTAATTAGAATAGTCAGATTTCAATTTTGTAAAGATATAAAAGTTCTTTGGTTACTTTACTAAGTTATATGTCGGAAAGGGATTTTTTATTTTTTTAGGTACTGTATCACTGAAATTAATTTTATTATATTTTGTTCTAGTAAGATGTTCATCTTCGTTGTTTCCCGGTGAATATGCTGCTCCAACCGTCACGACAGCCGTACCTGGACCAAAATCAAAAAAGCTCTTTGAGGAGCTTTCAGACATGCAGGTTTTTATTTAACTTTTTTATGTCGTTCAACGTTGTTATAATAATATTGAAGTTACCGAAATGGATTTGACAAAAAAAAATCGATTCTACTATTCTTGAATTATAAATGGTGATCATGCGATGAAAAAGGAAACAGTGTTTTCAAATTATAAACTTATTTACCAAAGTAATGGGCATCCGTTTTTTTGAGTTAGTACCGGTGGAAAACAAATTCTTTCTGTTGTATTTTAGGACTTAAGGTCATCAGGTCCCTGACAGGTCCCGAAGTTTGTGTGTGATGGATACGAAATTAATACAGTTTAATATTCAACCGACAGGATGCGTAGTTTAATTCAATAAGTACTTTGGTTAAACGGTAAAAACAATAGAGAGGGTTCAAATTTGGTTCACAGTTAAAGCCTTATTAATAGGAGTACTCATTGAATGGTGTGCGTGTACAACGTATAATGAATACAAATGAAACATTATGTCAATTTAAAAATAATTTAATTGAAAATTTTTTTTTAAATTGTCGGCCATTACGCTGTTTTAATAAACATAGTACATACACATACATTTGTTATACTGAAGCCAAATACATAATATTTTAACTTTTAGACATGAGATCAACACAAGATTTAGGGCACTCGGGATTTCAATATTTTTTTCTGTTTGAACTTTGAATTGTAGTTTATTATTTATACTATCAGTTTTGGCTGGTTTTTTAAAATGTTTATACTTCAGGGACTACACCACAGTATTTACGTTGCAACTATTTTTTTTTAGCAAGCAGGTTCGGTTCAACTTTTTGCAGACTACAACAAATCTCTTGGAAACTTTATAGTGGACGTCGACGGAAACGTTCTTCTGGACGCTTACACACAAATATCGTCAATGCCGTTAGGCTATAACCATCCCGACATGTTGAAAGTATTTGAAAGCGATGAAAACAAAGTAGGTTCTATATGGTTTTTCAATTATAGTTTGTGTAATTTATATAGTTTTGATTTTAGAGGGCTATCGTTAATCGACCTGCATTGGGTGTATTTCCGGGAGCGGACTGGCCAGCAAAACTGCGTAGCACGTTAATGAGTGTAAGTATATTGATTTTAAATTAACAATGAAGTGACTGTCAAGTGAATGCGACATAATTGAACACGATAAGAGATGTTGTTAAGGGAATTACAAGTGGTCTGTTTTTAAAGGAGTTTTACGTAGGCAATAGGTATTTAAAAAAAATGGTTTTAATAAATTTCGACCATGTTAATTAATTTTCTGGTTAATTTGTATAAGCTTCAAGGTATTATTTTCAATTGATATAATTTTTTTTTGAGTAAAAGTCATTTTGGCTTATTTTAGGCCAAAAAGTTAGACAAAATTTCAACTACTTAGGATGGTTCAATTTTAATTCTGTAAAAAGAGATTTGAGTTCTTTGGCTATGTTATGTAAAAAACCGATTTTCATTTAAACATTTGAGTTTCTTGTAATTAAATAAATTAAATTTTCAATTTTTTCAATATTAAAACCCAATATTTTTACATAAAAAATTAATTTCCTACATTATCTAGTAAAGTTGCCAAAGAACTTGTATATTTTTCCAGAAATGAAATCGGACTATCTTAAGTAGTCGAAATTTTTCTGGCTTTTTGGTCTAAAACGTCAAAAAACAGACCGCGTGCAATCCCCTTAACAAGGAGGTATTAATCAACGTGTCAGGGTTGGGGGCGGTTTATCTGTTATATGAAATTACCTTCTTATACTTACCTACCATAAGACATTCATGACCCATTGTTTTTCTTTCAAGGGAATAACTAACTTTGTTATTTTATACTCTCATATGAACTGTCCTAAAAACCTTCAGGTCGCTCCGAAAGGCATGCCCGGTTTGACCACGATGATGTGCGGATCCTGTTCCAATGAGAACGCCTACAAGAACATGTTTTTGAAGTACCAGAGGGACAAAAGAGGAGGAACGTCCAACTTCACCGAGCTGGAAAAGGAGTCGTGCATGATTAACTTGGCACCCGGCTCGCCGAACCTGTCGATATTGTCGTTCAAAGGGTCGTTCCACGGTCGTACCTTGGGAGTTTTATCCACCACTCATTCCAAGTACATCCACAAGATAGATGTGCCGGCTTTCGACTGGCCGATTGCCAGTTTCCCGGAGTACAAGTATCCGTTGCACGAAAACCTCAGGGAAAACGAGGCCGAAGACGAACGGTGTTTGGCCGAAGTATGTCGAACTATCAAAATACCTACCATTAACGTGCCTATTAATATGGTCTTTGATATATATAATATTATAGGTAGAGGAGCTGATCGAAAAATGGGAGAAGAAAGGCAACCCCGTGGCCGGCATTGTCGTGGAACCTATCCAAGCCGAAGGCGGTGACAATCACGCTTCACCGTATTTCTTCCAAAAGCTTCAGAAAATCGCCAAGAAAGTGCGTTTCCACGTATAAAAACGGCCCTACTGTAGACTGGTTCAAAATAAAAAAAATATAATTCACCTCTACAATGAAAAATGTACATCTCGGTAAAAAAAAAATTTCTTTTGGTCAGTCGCAAAATGTACTAGGTTTATTTTAATTTGGCATAACTTGGTCAATTTTGAAGACACACGATTTTATCATACGACGTTTAAAAGCTTATAAAAAGTTCTTCAAGATTGGTTGTAACTATATTAGAGTTTTGACTAGTAGTTAAGCCAATAAAACTTTCGAAGTATTGAAACAAAAAAAAACAATAAGAGCTGAAATAATAAAATTAATTCGATATTTATATTAAAAATTTGTTTTTTTTTGTTTCAATATTCCGAAGATTTTATCGGCTAAACTACTAGTCAAAACTCTAATATAGTTATAACCAATCTTGAAGTACTTTTCATAAGCTCTTGAACGCCATATGATAGAATTGCGTGTTTTAAAAATTTACAAAGTTATGCGTAATTAAAAAAAACATAATATATATTTTTGGTTATTTAATTGTGAAATGAATAATGCCTTTGCGACTAGAAAAAATCGGACAATTTTTTTTTACCAGACACTTTTTTTCGCCAAGAAGAGGTTTTTTCAACCAGTCTGCCTTGCAGTCTATTATATGCTATACAAAAAATGTGTTATTTTTTTCTTTTTTCTAACAGTACAACGCGGGTTATTTGATCGACGAAGTACAAACTGGAGGAGGACCGACCGGCAAGATGTGGTGTCACGAACATTTCGACTTAGACACGTCGCCGGACATCGTGACTTTCAGTAAGAAAATGCAGACCGGCGGATACTACCTGAAGACCGAATTCTTGTAAAAAAATAAAATTCATAATTTAACGTGGTTTATCAATATTCCCGTCGGGTCAATATATATTATTCTGTTGCAGGCCCGACTTACCGTATCGCGTGTTCAACACCTGGATGGGAGATCCGACCAAAATAGTATTGCTGGAGGCCATCTTGAACGTAATCAAAAGAGACAACCTGCTGTCAGTGGTGGAGAAATCGGGTGACGTGCTCATGTCCAATCTGAGAGACTTGGAAGCAGAGTTCCCAGCGTTCATCAACTCTACCAGAGGACGCGGCACGTTCATATCGTTTGACGCCGCCGACAGCAAACTCCGGGACGACATCGTCAACAGACTCAAAAACAAAGGTAATATATTCTTAGGTGATTTGGGTAGTACTGAAAGAAATGAGGAAAATAGTGTTAGTTAACCGGATGAAAGTATTTAAAAGAGAGGATTAGTGTAGAGGATGTTTTAGAGGTAAACCGAAAAATAAATAGTGAATGCTTTTAAACTACAGACATACGATATGTAAATTGAAGTTAATGATTGTACGGGGTTTGTTCGACTGCGTGTTTTGTGGAAAGTTAGCTGGCCTACTATTTTACATAAAGGAAATAAGACGAGGAAAAAGCAGGAAAATAACGAATAAGAAATAATTATTGACTATGGTATAACAAAATATTGTCTAATTATAACAGTTATTGTATCAAAATCGAAATAGGTAGTAAAATAGAATAGTAATAGAAAAATATTTTTACTATTCTGTGTTTATACTATTTCTGTGGACATGTGGAGGTCCCAAAATCCAAAATCCGTTTCTCTATTAATTACCCAAAACATAAAAGAAGCGAAGGAGTAAAAAGACTAAGAGTGTCAACAATGAGAGTGACAAAAAAAACCAAACCCAAAGTAAATAGATTTTTTTTTATCGTATATTGCCAACTGTATTAACAAAGCATCATGAATTATTGAAACACATCTATTAGTATATATTGTTTCGAAAACAACATGATGAATAGACATTTTTTTTCACAGGAGTCCAAACCGGAGGATGTGGTGACATCGGTATTAGAATGCGACCGGCGTTGATCTTCCAGCCTCAACACGCTCACATGTTTATCGATAGACTTCGACAAGTATTGAGCGAGACAAAATAAGTCTCGTCTTTAAGACTGTAGTCACAGTTCTTATTATCTTTATTTTTTAGTTGTTAATTTAATTTTTTTGATACTCGTATTATCGTAATGTCTTCCAAACGTTCCAATGTCTTCCAAAAGATAAAAATAAAAATGTCTTCCACTTACCTTATACAAAGCTGTATTCTACCGATCAATGTTGGTATGTACCATTACCTACTAAATAATATTACATGTATGAGTTCCGACAGTTTTTACATGTAATAAATAATAATATAAATACAAAACAATAATGTGTTCCTTCAATAGGGACAGCTAATATTATAGTCTGTGTTTAAATAAATAAATAAATATTAATTATACATCTATATATTTATTAGCTATTTGATTTTTTTTTTTTACATAAACTAATTTGCACGTTGATCCGCGTATTATATTTACACATTATTACGAATGGTGAGAAAAGTGAGTTGTTATAGTTTTTGCTCTTCAATCGACCAAGAGCAATTTTAATCATTGTTCAAAAACTAAATATTAAAAATTTATAAATACGTATAATACGATCTATGTTTAATTTAGTTATAATAGTAAGCTGTAAAAAAAAACCCCCGTAGGCAGAATAAATAAATTGTGTCAATATTTATCTACTTGCGGCTTGTTGGAACACATTTTCCCATGTAGAATACTACCATTTATACTATATATGTTCCTCATTAAAAAATATTTTTATCAAACGCTGCATTACACACCAAATAAAAGTTGAGAATTTAGGATATTATAACTTATAAACTATTAATATTCAAGAATATTTTAACACGTTATGTTATGAATTTAAAACGTTATCGTATAGCCTATTTGTACTTACCAAATCTCCGACCAATTTGAGATGTTTTCATTTGTGTTATTGTATATCTATGGACTGTGTAAACTTGAGCCACAGTAAAAGAACTGTAGGTACTTGGTATTTTAAAAATGATTTATGGATAAATTCTAGAAACCCCAAGGTAGTATTAAATACGTTATCACCCCGACCTCGACAATATCGTCTCACAAGCTATACTATATAATATAGTATTACTTAAGTTCATATAAAAAAAAACATACAAGCAAATTTCTAAATGTATTTTATTATGTAAACAAAGAATAATTACACTTTTAGACGTTAGTTTGTTATTCTCTCGAGTTTTTTTCTACTATATTATGTTCAAGTTCTTTTAGACGGTAATACGAGTGAGACGTCTTGAGACTTTCGAACGAGTAGATCATCCAGATGTTTCCGATAAATCGTTTAACGTATCCTAGAAACACTTGTAACGTTAACAAGCTTATCGGTGGCTGATGCTTGATATTTAACAAGTACGTTTGTAAATTGTAACATTCGGCAATTTTAAGGATCTCCGTGCGAGTGCGAGTGCCATATTCTTTGCCGACTTCCATTGCCTTGGAAAATGAACTGAAATTGTCGTTGTACGATGACATGACCTTAAGCGATGCCAGTGTTTTGTCTATTTGATCATCGATTCGTTGAACAGCTCCGTCACGCGGTATAATCGTATTCACCAGTAAGATTATCTGAGTCAAATGCTTGTCGCCGAATTGGCCTATGCGTTCGGCAAAGTCCGTCAAGTAAGTTACGAAAAACTCGGTGTAGTATTCACAGTGGCGCCTCACGCTATAGCTTTCCAAGAGTGTGGACTTGAGCAATATTTGTTTGACAAGCATCAAATGTAAAACTGTGATTCTCAGAGCGACCGCCTTGAGTATGAGTAAGACGTGGCTCTGAAACGTCATCAGTGAATCGATTTGTTCGTGCAACGAGATGCTGTTGTTCTTGCTGGACCGGTAGTGAAAATCCAATTCGTTTCTTATAGAATCCCAGTCGAGCTGGACGGCAAACGCCTCTTTCAATTCCTGCACAATCAGTCCGGTTGCGGTCGAATAGCCAAAACTCAATTCGTCCTTTCCGGACCACACCAAGTACTCCACGGGTATGGCATTTTTCTTACGCTGCTCGGAAAATCTGGTCTTGTTCAATCGCATTGCTGTCTTCGCGTCGACCGTTGTCAGGCCAAACTGTTCGGCCACCTTGTCCATGTATCCGACATTGTTATTTTCCGGTTTACCCGTTTTCCGATTCCACACCTCGCACCCGTAGGACCCGGCGATCTCGTTCAGTACTTCTGCGACGGAGTTGTGGACTGACCAAAACAGTTTTTTATCCAGACCACCGGACCGGAATACACCCGACCTGATCGTCTCGACTGTCCTTTCGGCGTACGCGTAAAAGATCCACATGACTTCCTTAACGCGGATGCCGACTTTGGCTCCGAACATGTGTAACACGGCCACCGAGTATTTGGCTTCGTCCGTAAAATCGAAATCGACCCACTCGTCGTCGCCGAGCTCATCATTCTGGTCTTTCAGGCGAATCTTGGTCAGATGCATGTGCACGAGTTCGCTGAACACGAAACTGCAGTGTAAATCTTTGTATAGTCTAATGTTAAGGTTTATGATTTCGTCTTGCTTGTAACGCAAAATCGTAAGCTCGTCGATCGCAGGTCTACCGACGTCACCTCGATCCATCCATGACTGCCTGACCACTTCCCGAAACTCTTGAGAAACGTTTGGACCTCTGACTGGGACTAGATAAGAAGGCACCACCACTAGTACAACAGATATTACTCGGCGGAGAAGGGCCATTTCGAATATCGCTTAGCACTAAATATCCTAATCCCAGAACACTACAATACTTATAGTTGTAACACTAAATTATGACTACTAGGTGCACAAAAACATGTTCAAGTTGGTAAAACAAGTGTTTTAAAAGTAAATATTGACTAAAACTATCTATATATTAAGTAGTTATACTGATGTACGAAGATATTCCTCCCGAAAATGTTAGAAAGTACTTTTTTGATGTGTAAACATCTTTACGCGCATTACGATATTTATGGGTAGAAGTAAATTTGTGCAAATGCCAGAAGTAGGTAACGGAAGTAGGACTAACGGAGGTGAATTTGACCGGTAAACGGAAGTATACATTTTGGATATACGTCTAATGGTACCAAGGGTGTATGTTAAGTAACCACATCGGACAATGTCTCATCACCATACGCGACAACTTTCTATCCGCGTATCTTACCCTAGTACCTACAATTTATGATCTGTATATTACCTTGACGGAAACAACAGAGATATTGATGTGACATATGTGATTAATTTGTGACAACTTTTGAAGAAATGACAATGTAAAAAAAAAAAATAGAAAAATACGCTTAACCAATTTTGACGATACTTCTGTATTTAAAAAGGCGCGAACAATTGTCTTAAGACGGGCTAAAATCTGTTTCAATACAATTTTGTAATATTGTCATCACCTAACGCTACAAGAGTGAAGTGTTAAGTTTTTTTATTTAATAATTGTGGCTTCATTAAGCAAAAATATTTGTAGTCAACCACTTTTACGATGAACGACCCATGTAGTATTTATCGTGTAATCACAAGGTAAAATATTTTTTGGTCACACTGGTATTTAAGAAAATATCGTCTGTGAATTATCCAACCGAAATTTCCGGTATTTTCGTTATCGCCTATCGGAATTTTAATACACTATACAGTCGTACAGTCTATTGTAATAATATTTTTAATTTTCCAAATGAAATATCTGCAATTGGGTATTTTATACAACATTTAAATAGCCACCACTATAATTTATCAAATATCTGTATTGTGTAAATTAAGTTTTTGCCTTGTGGTTAGTATTAAACCGTTGAGACACGACGTTCATTGAAATTTAAGTACAATATTCATAAATATGTCTTCAAACTTTCGTTTGCGTAGCCGTACGGCAATAAACAATGAAAATCCAGTAAAAAACATCAGTAAGATACTATCAAAAGTTATTATTTATAATACATTAGGATTGTATTATATATATTCATTCTAGAATTAATTTTAACTTAATATTAACCTTTTTTTTAGAGGAAAATCTGCTTACGAACCGCAAGAAAACTGCACTTCAAGTTCTGACTAATACAGTACAGTCAAGCAAGAAACCTGATGGAAGACGATTAAAAACAACAAAAATTGTGCCCATGCAAAAACTTGAGACTGAAGTAACGTGCAGGTCTCCATTTCAAGATATCACTCATGAACAAAACGAAGATCTAACACATTTTGGCTGTATATCGCACCAAGAAAAAGGTATATTATACATTAATATTATGTTCTAATAACTAGTATTGAGTAATTCCTTTTGAAAGTATTAGCGTAGAAGACAAGGTGTTGTTAGTAGTATGCAAAGATAAAAATAATATTACCTTATATAACGTTAAGAGTAATTATTTCTTACTGGTTATTGACTAGTCAACATTTTTAGTAAAGTATATATATAAAAAAATAATAAAATACATGTGTGTTGCCATAAGTTTATAATTAGTTATAGAAAATACTTGTAAAATCTAATCAAAACCTGGTTGTTTTATGTGTACCTATGTAAATAAAAAACAAACTATTCATTTGAAGAAGTTTTTTGACTTAACACACAACACTTTGCACAATACTCATATTATCATGTGTTTGTTCTTAAGATATTCTGCCTTCAAGTATGACGTGTAACATCAACATGTTAAGTGATTTTTTCAATAACAACACAATTAATGATGAAAACGATTGGTTCCTAGAAGACTATAAAAATACAATGATCGATCAAGTTAAAAATACGTTTGAAAATTTTGGTAATTTATAAAAGTTCATAATAAATTATAGTATGTAATATTCCATTGTTATTTAAATGTTAAATGATTTTTTTTAATTTTTCTAGGAGAACCTGAAATTAAATTTGAATTTTCTTCGTTGCCTCTAATGGAATTTCCAGAAATGTCTTGTGTAATTTAAAAATATTTCTTCGGTGATATGAAGTGTACTGAAGTAACTACCTATATTTTTTGATTTATGTATAATTATTTATATTATTTTAATAATTTTTTCCCCTTTATATAATTATATTTTTAAGTATTGATAATAAAAAAAATGTGTATAAAAATCAATGACTAAGAAGTAGTTGTAACTATTTATGTTTTTATGGAATAAATCTTAAAAATCAACACTTGTTTCTTTTAGTATATTTGCTTAGACTTATATCAAAGGAAATCATAAACAATTAAGTATTGATAAAAAATAAATGCATATAACCAATATTTATTTTGGTTTTTCCAGTATATTTTTAACTTTAGGAGAAAGCTGTTGGATCTAGTTGAACATTTATTAAGCAACTCAAAATTATTGTTATTTTTTATTTCATAGTGGAGCATAATTTATTCTTAAGAGGGCGTCGCACCGGTGATTTTCTGTGGTAAAAACATGTTTACGCCAATTGAAAATAATTCGCTTAATTTTGGTTTTCAAGAAAAAGAACCTATTATAAAATTAAAATAGAACAATATTCCGGAGTGCAAGACGGTGCGTTTTTTTTTCATTATTCCGAGTATAACGCCCAATACATAGTTTAGAAATAACGACTATTTTAACATTTTTAAACTTTTCAAAAAATAATTTTTTTTTTTAAAACACCGCTTGCCCTTTAGAATATTGTTCTCTTTTAATTTTATAATTGATGCTTTTACTCTAAAACCAAAATTGTTAAATGTTAAATTTTCGGATATAATAAGCGATTTAAGATACAAATTTGAAAAGCCTATTTTTGACAGTCAAAAGAATTGTCCAGCATAATCTGAAATGCGAAAGTCAAATGGGGTACGATCTGATGTGAAATTCCTCATTTGTACCCAACTAAAACATGTTATATTCCTCTATTTATCAAATTCCTTTATCCACCTTGCCTTATTACCATTTTTAAATAAAGTGTAAAATATATATTGTGTAATGTGTACCCATAGATAACATAATATTCAAGTATGTACATATAAAAGCAAAAGGTACGTCAGTAATTTTTTGTTATAAATGTTTACTAAATTGATGCTGTCCGAAGAACATCGGCGGCCAAATTAAATTTGTGCTAGTATACTGTACACTAATATGCCTAGTATAGTATACAGTAATACAAGTGAAATTATGTATTTGAATAAATAACAACACGTTAATTACTAATAAATGAAGACATATTATTCATTACAAGAATACAAGTCAACTGTCAATTAAATCTCATTATCGTATATTATTATTTGGACTATTGTTGCCATCACATTTCGTTGTGATAACGTTTGAAGTTGAACACATAACCTTGGTATTATTGTAAACCCTTTATTTTTTAATGAACCATTTATGCAACACAAATGGCTCAATAAAACCAATCATTAGTTAAATATTTAGTGAACGATTATGCAACCCGGCAATAGAAAATTAACTATTATTTCAACAACGAACACTACGTGCGGGTATTATCATTCTACTCAAGGATGGTTCTGCTGTCTACATAGTAACTGATAAGACATTTTTTGAGGTTATGTTTTTCTGAGGACGCTTCGGCTTTGGAGGGAATTATGTTGTTCTTATGACGTTTTATGGCGGTAAATTAACATAATCGTGATTCGTGTCCCATACCCCATAACGTCCAGCTGTCCAATAGTAGAATTTTAAAAGACTTTCCAGTTTCGAGTTTTCCACCTGATTGTTTCGTTTCTCAGACCTATGTAAATGCATACCAATTACCACTAAATTCACTAATTAATCTGATCCAAGCACTATGAGCTTAGGACTATCTCCAGGATGTTTAAACGAGTAAGTAGGATTTTTTAATACATATTTAAGGTAATATTTATTAATTTATTTCTAATTCTCAGTGTTAATTAATCCGTTTGTTATTGTAGTATGACTAGTTCGAGCACTGGTAAAAGAAGTATTTTAAAGGGCTATGAAGATCTCGGAGTGACTCTACTCGAAGATAATCGGAATGTCAAAAGATGTCGTTACTTAAATCCTAATAACAAGGTAAATTGATTTTCAGATTTATTCGAATACAAGTATCGCGAGTATTAGATGAAAAATAAAAAAAATATATTTATTAAATGGACAATAAGATATAAACATATTTGAACTTCAATATGTATCTTGTCATCTTGTAGCTTAACAGGCTTCTAAAGGCCCAACACAGAGAAATGAGTTGGTTTCTTGACAAATTTGCTTTCAGAACGGGCCGTCGGTCCATCGCCGTAGAGAGGGATGGCTGCTCCTTTTTAATACGCCTATTAAAAAGGCGTTGCCACCCATCAAACAACCTCCTGACTAAGTATTTAACGGGAGTCATTGAACACTTTGTCACCCTATCCACTTGGCCATTTGTCCTTATCTCCTAGACCATTTATAGACTTTCGAATGTCTAATCTATTTTCAATTCAATTTTTAGATCCCAAGTCCTTAAACTACCTCTGAAATAGTAAAGCTAAAGGAAAAATATCCATCCCTTCTAGAAGAAAGGGTTGACTATACTTTTTTGGTTTAAAAGAACTAATTCTTCTAATTTTCATAAATTAAAAGTGTCCAGTATTTTCAAGTAGAAAACTATAATAGTAAAATGCATTTGGTATACAATTATATATTTTGAATGGAAAAAAATAAAAAATGGGATCATTGGTTTCCAACGTTAACGTCTCATGAGATCAAAAAAAAAATTATTTTTCTGTTTGCTGTTTATTTAATTTTAATTCCTTAAAATAATAATTATTTTTATAAATTGCGATAGTAAGAGATTAAAACTATTTATTTAACAGGTTAAGCGACAGTGGACACCAGTGACCGCTCTTGCACTGAACCTGTTTAAATGGCTTTATTTGAAATTATAATAAATAAAACACAGTTAATTTACAAATCATACAATTGAGTTTTTAGTTTGTGTAGTGTTTTTTTTTCCAAGTTAAGCTGTTACCAATTATTTTTATATTTATAATATTCCTTTTTTTTTTAAATATTTGCTATATTTTAATTAAATTGGTTTTTTGTTTGTTTTTAGATATGGCCTATGGGTTATGGTCTAGTTACTTCTTTATACAAATATAGAGCACAAAAAAAACCTGTTATTCAAAATAGTATGTATTATATTTGTTAAGTAAAAAAAATGTAAATAATTACAACATTGAAGTGTCTATTTTACAAAAAATATTTTTATGTTTTTTTACAGATCATTTTGACACAGTACCAGAGGAAGTCATATTGCATCTGTTTAAAATGTTGGACAAACACACTCTGACCAAATGTGCTTATGTTTGTCGACAATGGCGTCGTATTGCGTATGACGAATCACTATGGCAGAGTTTAAATATTCCATATCGTCGGATGAGTATTATGGCCTTGGATAATATTTTAAGACGAAATGTAAAATTCTTGTCGATTTCCCATTCAAATGTATGTGAAGTTGACTTTTTGCAAGTTACATACTTTAAGTTTACTAACAATTAATTTACATTTCAGATTTATGTTGATATGAGATATGTTTTTGAAACATCGTTACCTAAATTACAATATTTAGACTTGAGCGCAGTGTTTATGCCCGTTGACAGTAAGTAAAAATATTTTAACATTATTTTAAATATTATACATTTTTTTTTTTTTTTAGTTCTGAATTCTCTTTTAAGTCAATGTCAAAATTTAATCAAACTAAGTTTAGAAAACTGCTATATCGATGCAATGTGTTGTGAACGAATTGGACGAAATAGTAAATTAAAAGTGTTGAATTTGGCTTCAACCAACGGTCTCGATAACGATGGAATAAAACACCTATTGAGATTAAACAAGTAATAGTTTATGTAAAAAATTACAAACTTGAGGGGCTAATTTAACCAAGACTAGTAAAATTAATAATTTTTTTTTATATAGAACTGGTCTTATTTTTATCTGGTTTTTTTGTAATGCAAATAGTTAAGAAAATAAATAATTTTTTTGCAGCATAAAATGATCAAATTCTGTTATATTTGAACTCTTAACTGTTAATATTAATGACTTATCATTCCCCTTTTGGCTCTGTACTAGTGCCTGTGATTTTAATCAAGTAATTTAAATACACGTGTACACGAACCCTGTGTAATTAACATACGCGTGTAATTAACATACACGTGTAATTATAAATACATGTGTATTTAAAGAAATGTATTTTGTCAAACATTTTAGTTTGAGTTAACGTATTTACACAAATATACTTGTGTTTGAGTTCGTATAATTAAATAGACGTGATATTAAACGTAAAACTAAAATTAATAACAAAAATAAATTTTTTTGAATATACGTGTATTTATAATTACACGTGTATGTTAATTACACGGGTTTCACGTGTAATAGGGACCTCTACTCTGTACCCACACTAGTACCCATTAAAATCAGATACGTTGATAACAGTTATTGGTTGCAGTAGTAGTTTAATATAAAAAGTTAAATATAGTATAAATGATTAGCAAATGCCTTGTAAATTGGCCAACTATAATGTATTATATTACGAGTTTTAAGAAAGTTATTCGATACTTCTTGCCATTTTTAAAATATTTTATGTGGCTAGTCATGAACTCTTAATAACCAGTTAACTTAAATTTAACAAAAAAAGGAACTTAAAAAAAAAAAAAATAATTAACTGTTTTTGATCCAAAAAATCTTATAAAAACCCATTCATTATGAATATTGGACTTGACACGTTTTCTGTCTGGTCACTGAAGATTAGATGCATGGCGACAACAAAACATGAAGATTTTTTTTTTATTATAAGAAAGTAAAATGAAATTTTTTTGTCTCACTTGTAATATTTTATTATGTGTTTCCTCCCCCTCCATTTACAAAATACTTGGGCACGCCACTGATTACATTCAAATGCTGTTTGTATTATAAAGTAATGTTAAATGTTTATTTCTAGCTTGGAGGAACTCAACGTATCGTGGGCTCATATGAAAGATGACAATTTGCATTACTTAGTGGCCAATATGATACAAAGTATTAAACGTCTTAATATAAGTGGTTTTCTAAAACAATTGACAGACAATGGTATTACTCAATAATTTATTCTCAATTTTACTTCAAAAAATAATTTAAGTAGGTATTATTTATTATAATCTATTGTTTTTTTCAGATTTGATATCGTTGGTTTGTCGTTGTCCTCAACTAATTGAATTAGATATTAGCGATAGTTTAGCAATTACTCAAGAAAGTGTGGATTTCATATTGAACAATCAGCCGCTTTTGAAAGTATTGTCTATGAGTCGTTGCTACAATGTTGGAATTGGGTTTTTGCAGTCAGTAATTTTTTTTTCGAGGTAAATTTTACATTGATAGTCAAATCAAACGTTTTGTTTATGTGTTATTATTAGACCAAGAATGCTAAGACTTAAGACCGGAGACAACGTACACCGGCTGAAAGAGTTGAACATGTTTGGAATGACCAACCAAACATACAATTATCTTTGGACTGATATAGTTGATCTCGACGTGAATAAGAATATTTTCTCGCGTATCGCTCGTCCTAAACCGGCTGACGACGAATATACGATTTGGGAGATTCCCGTTTATATAGACTGTTAATTTAATAGTTAGACTATGATTCTTTGCAGATATTTTGTGATACATAATTTAAAATGTTAGGCTAAAATAATGTGTCTTTAAAGACATCAGTTTAATATTCCAAACCATCCTTTGGAAAATAAAACACTACTATTACATATGTATGTAAGCTCATTTAATAATTATTTTATTATCGAATGATTCAATTGTTATTGGGAAATATGTCTGATAATTTAAACCAATTAGTTATAAGTTGACATGTGGACTGAATTAGTTTCTTTTTTTTTTTTATTGTTTAGTCATGGAAAAGGGAGTTGAAAAGTTATTTGTATTAAATCACTCTATTAAAAATATTATATATATATATTATAATAATCTAGAAATATATTTATAAAAAGAAAATTGTTCTTTATATAGTACCCAAAATGTGGATGAAATTGAATATAAACGAATATATATATATATATCAAAATATTTTTTTTGTATATTGTTATAAATAAACCCTTACCAATAAGAAAATAAGAATTATTGAAATAATGAAGTACTGAGTAAAAAAAAAAAAAGGTACCTATTACAAAATGTGCTCCATATGGTTAATTTCACGTGAACTTCCATTTCAGCACGGCCGCAGAGTACTGGTTGTAGCTAATAGCGATGCTGTGACCCAAGACAATTAGTGTTTATAAATTGAACTTAAGTTGGTTTTTTAATTTTTAACATATCCAATCTACTTATTGTTCTTCCAAGACGAACAAAACTATTAAATGTGAACACAAGTTTTTGAGACTTATTAATAAATAATTTATTTTTTGTATAATGATTAATGATAGGGACTTATTTTTGTCTCTATCAAAGTAATATAATAATAATATTAAAAATTGCTTTTGTAATTATTCGTCGACCATCCAACATTCAATATTAAATGGTCGTAGCCATAGCCGTGTAAACCTTTAATAGCTCTTTCAGCATCAATCTTTGACTTAAAATTAACAAACGCGTAACCTTTGCAAACGCCAGTAACCTTGTTTGATGCCAAAAAAATTCTAGCAACTTGTCCGAATTTGTTAACCAGTTCACTCAAATCAGCTTCGGATGTACTTTCAGATAAGTTTTCAATTCGTATAGCAGGAACTTCTTCGTAACCTCGCGAAAACGGATCTCTCCTTCCAGCTGTGTTAGTAGCACCTTCTCTTGCCGATGGAGGAACATAAGGCCTACAAAAATAATAAACTTAACAAAAAACATCTTTTTAAAAAAAAAAAAAGTCATTTACCTATTAGTACCACCAGTAGTTTTCTCAGGTTCAGCAACTTTCTCTTGAACTAATTTCTTATCTTCAACAACTAATCCAGTACCCTTAAGGTGACACGAGAAGGACCAATGTTCACCACCACAAGTACGGCACTTAATGTTCATATTCATATTCTTCAGTTTGTCCAATGGGTTTTCATCAGCCTTATCACCGTCCTTGCCAGTTAAGAATTGCATTTGTATTTCTTCTGCAGGTATGGTGGTGGCGATATTTGGACCGGGCTTATCATTACGAGAATCGCCGAATTTAGACCATAATTTTCGTTCAGCTATTGTTTTCGATACGACTCGTCTTTCGATTTTGTATGTACGTACTACTTTTTCTTTTTTGTCGTCCTTGTTCCAACGATATTCAGTTATTAACTTGGTGTCTTTGCCGACGTTTTCAGTCTTTGATGGCGGTAATGTGGTTTTCTCCAGATGGTCTTCCACTTCATCGGCCCAGCTGGCTTTTATTAAATCTTTGTGCATTTTGTCTGAAACAATACCGTAGAAAAAAGATAAAATTGTGATTTAATACATTGCCCGAAAAATACTTCTGTGGTAAACTCGATAAACTTCTTACCTTACGGGTTTGATCAGAGTTTCTGGATTTTTGACAATAATAATTTAAATTCTAACTTCTGAGTTTCGGTACTTGGTCGACTACAAATTACAAAATCAGAAAATTGGAAAGATCAAAGCTGAAATTAGGAAGATAGCCTTAAAGTCTCCCGGGGGTTATCACATTAAGGCAAGCCACTCGACCGCGGCAAAGTAATTAAGTACGCTAACAACTCGTGTTATCATATTTTACAACATGGCTTCCGCCATTGTACTGTGAGAAATTAAAGGCTGCCCAATAACAATGGCCGTCATCTTGCGGTTATCTTAGGTTACTGAAATACCTATGGTTTGGCGGTGCGCACCGCTCGAGTATAAAGATTCCTCGTGGACGCCAAAAATGCCGGTAAACAAATTGCGAGACCAGTTGGCAACACTGTGTAACGATTATGAAAATTTATCGGAATTCTGATTTCCGAAACCTCAATATTGTTATGTCTCGAATCTCGATTGAAAAAAACACATTTAGTAAACACTAATTTGCCTAGGCTAATTGTGGATGATATTTTGTAATTTAATTTAATTACGATTCTGTCCTTTTTTTATTATTATTATTTTTTATTTCGTCGTTAGCAAATTTCGTTAATATGTTGAACTCAAACGCTTACGACGAGATCATTAGTTAAGTGGTAAAATAGAACAGCATAAGAAATTGATGTCAACATGGACATTCCACAACCTCCTGAAGGTAATAATAAATGAATAGCAACGATATGATTTTTTTATTTAGTAATTATTAGTAAACAGTTTTTGTAAGCGCTTATTTCTAATGAAATTGTACTAGATCATGAACTACATACAATCATTGACAAATTAGCTGTGTTTGTAGCACGGAATGGACCTGATTTCGAACAGATGACCCAGACCAAACAAAAAGAAAATCCTAAGTTTGAATTTCTATTTGGTGGTCGATACTTTGAATACTATCGTTATAAAGTTACCACGGAACAAGCAAGTAAGCAATTTGAGACTTAAAATTGTTACTTGATCATGACGATATTTTTTTATAATTAAAAAAAATAATAAAACTGAAATTCTAAAAAAAACTTGAAAATCAAAACAATTCATCATTCATTTTTTTTTTTATGGACCCTTATTATCTTCTAAACTACTGAAACAATTTCTTCAGACAATAGATTGGATATTGTATTTGTAAGGTACTTTATTCAGCCAACAATTTTAATACTTCATTCTTTCCCCTTCAAAACTGAGGAAAACTTATAAATTACTATAGTCAATTTCTAGGTTGCTATGTGAGGGTGAAACCCCTGTCAACGGGTTTCTGAAAAATTGTGTATGCTGTTATTTACATATTTGTAGGTGAAACAACGACAATAAATTATTGTACAACCCTAATTGTATTTACCCTAATACTAAAAATATAATTTTAGGTACATTATAGCTTTTATAATGCTTTTGTAGATTTTTGTATTTCTACCATCTACAGACTCGCATTGATGCATTTATTTGAGTTCCTGTAAATTTTAAGGGATCTTTCCAATATTTATTTTAATGATTCAAAATTTCTAGTCAAATTAAATATAATTATATTTGTTTTTTCAATTGTTTAGTATTAAAACAAAATAGTGTACGAGAAATGGCTCAAGCGGCAATTGCCAATAATACAGTTAGTACACAACAGTTGAATATGGCTGCTTCTGCTGCACAATGGTTGAACCTCAATCAACAAAACGACTGTCATACACCAAATATGACTCTAGAATCGTTAAATGCACAACAAGCAAGTATACAACAACAAATTGCTCAAGCAGAGCAGAACTTCAATGCTCAACTAATGGTAATGAAATTGAATAAAAAAAAAAAATTTGCTGTTTTTCTAACATTCTTAAATTCTTGTATAGATGTTGGCCCAACAACAACAAGTCGCTACAGATAATAAAATAATATCGGAACAACGAGAATGGATTAACTCAGAAGCAGCTAACAATGATCTGTCTCTGGTTGAGCTGTCGTCGGTGCTTGGGCCAGTAATTAAAGCGTGTACTAAGGAAGCAATAGCCAATGGGAAATCATGGATTTTAAAACAGACTGGTAGTCAACGAAAAGTTGACGTCATTACCCAGTACTTGCTAATGGAGTAAGAAAAACTGAACTGAAATATATAACCAAATTTTTGACATTATAAATCATAAAAATACATTTTTTTTTACACAAATAATAGAGCGACTGATCCTGAAGCCGAGTTTGCCAAACAATTGCATCTTATATATTTAATAAATGATACAGTTCACCATTGGTAAGAGTGTTGGTGTTAATTAAATTTTGTAATGTTGTCTCATCAAACATTATTGTTTAGTCTTCGTAAATCAGAAAAACTTCTAAAAACTGCATTAGAATCCATTATTGTGCCAATGTTTTGTTCAGCAATGACGAGAGCCAACGAGGAACAAAAATCAAAACTAAATAAAGTATAATCGATTTACTGTGATCTGATAATCGGTGTAGTCATAAGCATGTGCGTTACTTGTAATCGGGAAGTGGGAGAAATGGGTACACACAGCTCGACAACTACACCGCTGCTTGTTTAATCATTTTTGTTAAACAAAAATATAACGCAATTTTTTGATCATTTTAGCTGTTTAGCTTATGGGAAACTAAAAATCATTATTTTCCTGAAAACGTAATGGAGTGTTTAAAGAACCCCGAACAGTCAATGGCTGAGTACAAAAATAATCTGTTGGACACTCATAGAGAAGCTGTAAACCAGCTTAATATGATGATGAACAGTACATTACAAAATTATCGCAGTCAACACCAGGCTTTTTTGGCACATTGTAACAATCAATTGCAGGTAAAAAATTTGGTTTTAATTTGTCATTTATAAATTTAATTCAACTACCAATCCCTCACTTTTAGCCGATATATAGTACAAGATAACTAATGTAGGTGTATCGGAACCATTTGTTTGCTCTCACAAGACCACCGAACATTTAAAAAATACATTTTATTTTGCTTTTTTTCAAATTATTAATACAAAAATAGTTTTTATTGGGTGTGTAAGAATCAGCTCTTAAAATTATATACAGCTTAATTACCTGTGATTATTAATTGTTGTATTCATGGAAAAAGTATATATTTTTATTATTACCTTTTATAAATAACTCATGTATTTAATATTTATTATCCAATTTTTCTCTCATAAATCTTTTTTATTGGAAATTCGATTATTTTAGAGTATAGAAAACCAAAAACGTTCACTAGAACAACAAAAACAAAGGGTAACTCCTCTTTCGATTCCTACTGCTCAAGGTAAGCGCACATCTGATTTAAAAACGGACATTTTACTCGTTTTATATGAAAAATATATATACGTTTATATATATATATATATATTTATGTACAATGATTACACAAATAAATGTACGTTATTCATAATAATAAAATATTAATTTCATTACAACTTACAAGGTTTCCTAAAAAAAATTGTATATGTTTAAATAAATCTTTTTTTTTTTAATCTTATCTAAATGTCAATGTGAAAACAGAGTATAACAAATTTGGTTTTTAATATTGCAAACAATATTATCCTTTCACATATTGCCCTACACTTTAGCACAAAGCTTAACTTGAGTTGTACAAACAAATGTTTTAATACATATGTATTTTTAAGCTAGCTGGTAATTTTTACATTAGTTATATTATGATTTAATCAGTCTGAAAGTGAAAAAAGTAAGAATATATATTATATATTCTTATAAGTTGTCATTTTTTAGATTGTATTTTTGACGGTTTATTTACAATTTGATTACTTTAACAAATCAAAAAAAATGTATTTAATTTTTTAATTTTTATGTATTAAAATATGGTATTTTGTACAATTTGCTAGAATTTCCTTATTAATTTATTTATTTTTATCCATGATGTTTTGTAGACACATTAATTATTTTGATTTATATATACCTACTTTATAGTTTGTACTTTATTTTTCTTGGTTGAAAGGTTTGGATTATTTTGTTAAATGTTACACAAGAATCCAACATATTTTTCATATTCTTTATGGCAATGCCCAAGTTCTTTTTGGTTGAATAGTTTATACTCGATATATTTTTTTTTGCCGTAAAAATCTTTTAGTTGTGTTCAGTGGTTGAACTACCGTCCACGGGTATTTGCTGTGTGTACCCACCTTCCACTTTTCTATGATGTTTTACTCAAGCATCGTACTAAAAATTGTATGTTCGTTTTAAGTACATTGTACTAAGAAAATAGGGGGTGGGTAAACACAATATAACACCTTTATGTCACACCACTGGTTATGTTAACCTTGACGTTTTTTATTTTTTTATTATGATGCTAGTGGAAACCTTGTTAGTATATATTTTAATTTCTTCTAATGTGAACCCCCTTTTTAGAACTATTTCTCCATTGTTGTTTTGTTTAGACGATGGAAATCGACAGCACTTTAATGAGGGCCGGCTGCCCTCACCTCCAATGTATCAGAACAATGTACCGTCCACAGGCTATATGCAAGGAGATCAACGAAATTTTCCTCATCAAATAGATAACGGATACCAACAAGATGATCATTACAGACAGCCACAAATGCCAAATTGTCTGCAACAACCTCCCATGTACAATAGACCTCCACCTCCATTTAATCAGCCTCCTCCTAACATACATTTACAACCTCCACGTAAGTTAATTGAAAAACTTATTTTTTTTAAATGTTTTAAATAAAACAATTTGAGATTTTTAGCATCAATGGAACTGCCCGATTTAAGTCGACCTCCTCCGAATTTCATGCAAAATAATTTCTCCATGCCTCCGGTTCAACCAGAAGTGGCACCCGATGATTTAGTTCCATCATTGCCATACTATGAACTTCCAGCTGGTCTAATGGTGCCCTTAGTGAAAGTATGTCAAATTAATTTATTGGTTCAAATTATTTTATTTTCTATGTATATACATTGTTTTAGTTGGAAGACAGTAAATACAAACCTCTTGACCCAGAAACTATTCGACTACCTCCACCAGCTCCTCCGACGGAACGCCTTTTAGAAGCAGTTAAAGCGTTTTATATGCCTCCTGGACATTTTGCTCCACGCGATAGGTAAACTATCAAAAACAATTAGAACTATATGACTTCTAATGTGTTGTAAAAAAATATTATTATATATTATATTAAGTGATGGCTGGGAAAAACTTGGTCTTTATGAATATTACAAAGCCAAAAACATAGCGAAAAAACAAAAAGAAGATGATATTGCAAATAATATTAGAGAAAAGTCAAAATCTCCATCTCCAGTTACATTAAATGCTGTTAAAGATAAATCGCCAGTACGAAAAAAGCGTTACAGAAGGTTTGTATTGAGCAACGTTAAATTTTCAAAATGCTTATCTAATGCGTATTGTACGGTTTACAGTCGAAGCCGTAGTCCCAAACCTCGTAGTCCAGCAAGGCGCTTATCGAGTAAAAAGAGTCCACCGCCTACTCCAAATCGTAATCGGCGGAGACGATCACCATCTAAATCGCCTACTCCATCTCCTCCAAACACTCAAAGAAGCCCAACGCCGCCTTCATTTGGGTAAGTACAGACATTATCAATAAAATATTGTTTCAGTGTTTGATACAAATGTTTGTATTTTATTTAGTACTGGCTTTGGTAAAACAACACAAGAGCGGCTAGACGAGTCTAATAAGGGTCATCAGCTACTAAAAAAAATGGGTTGGGGTGGTGCTGGTCTTGGTTCAAAGGAGCAAGGCATTGACACACCAATTAGCGGAGGGGACGTAAGTAAAACCGTGGTTGTGGAATATTACATAACGAACAAAATTTTCTTTTTAATTGTACTCGGCAAATAAAAAAAAAACGGTTGATATTTTTGTGCCAATCTGTATTTACCTGTGGCTTTGTGTTGATCGTCATTTGCAAATTAGATCCGAGATAGGACCGATCAATATAAGGGTGTGGGCATCAGTTTGAACGACCCGTACGAGAACTTCAGAAAAAATAAAGGCAAGGCGTTCATACACAGGATGCGCACAAGGGCTGAAGAACGAATGGAAGGCAATGCGTAGGTTTGTATAGTGCTCAAAAACATATATTACTGTTACATCCAACTATTACTGTTATAACTAACTCGTAACAACAATTCACATTTGATTAAAAATTATTCAATAGACACAACTTTTCAGGTTAGATAATCATTATAACTCAAAACTCTTTTTTGTTTAATGAGTATCAGTGATGTAGACGTTGGGTGCACCTGTGTGTGCCCCTCTCCAACTTCTATGTATGCTATATACTCATAACGATAATTGTGTAACCATAGAAATAACAATACGGTTTTTGTTATGAGTACAAGCACACAAAAAAGTGGGATATGGGTGCATAAAAGGTATACCCTTATCACTTACTACTGCTAATGTGTTACCACACTTAGATATAAATTGGCTCTAGTCTATCATCTTATAGATCTCATAAAACATTTTATAATAATACATTTTAAAATCAATTTTGTATTTACTTGGTGACAAGTATAATATAATATTGTATATATTATTTTATTTTAATTATTACTAATGGTTAATAATTATGCATTTACATGATTTTATAATTGAAGTTGATTTATAAAACTTGAAATTATGTCTTAATTTGATTCTTGCCATTGTTTTACTCGATATTAATTGAAATATACTATCTGTGTCCATGTAGTTTGTTAGATTTTTTTTTTTATAGAATACAAAGTATTAACTGTTATTATTAACCCGTTTAATTTTGTTTACCAGCTCATATTAGTCTATTGTTTCAGGTGAACAATATTTTGTGTTGTGTGGTTAGTACTATTTTGGCTCACCTCTAAGCCGCAGAGGTGTGGCCACACGCGATGCGTTGCAAATATATATAAATATTATATATATTTTTTAGTCTTTATTATTATTGTAGCTACGGACGAAATACACCGTAAAGAACAACGTTCAGAAATTAACTACTACTTTGTGAATATATTTATTTATTAAGCCAAATATTTATGTAACAATATATAAAAAAAAATTTAGTATATTTAAGAAAGTAAGAAGTTCATATGGATTACTTATTGCTGCAAGACTCGTCAGAACCCAAGTTCAAGCATACATTTAACTATAATAAGATATGTTTCCTTTGATATAACTTTGTTTTCTATTTTAAAATATAAATGCCAATATCTTTGTATAATAATGTATTAGTATGTTATTTTGTTTTTAACCCCTATTTTCTTAGTTGAATTTATATAAAAAATTCAAATTGAAACCAAGCAAAATTACAATTTAAAATAAAATAATTGTATGTACATGTAGCATTGTTCAGGTTTTTCATAATATATAATATTAGGATTTTGTTTTTACAAGGTATCCAACTTCGTTTGATGTCTAGACTTGTGATATAGTTAAGCTTGTCAATTTTATACAAAAATTTAATATTAAATATACACAATTTGTCTAATAATATATTGTATTTTTTTTACCCAATTTTGTTTATAATTATAAGAATTTCCCTAAACACATCTTTTAGGTCTTTTCATTCCCAAAACTTCTTCCTGTGCCTGTTATTCCTCTTGTACTTTGTGTAAGGTGTCAGTGTGTCACAAATACTTTTAAAGACCAAATCTGCAAATCTTGTAATTCCATAATTAGTGTGTCACCACAATTTCTGTTCGATAATTTAATTGTTATGGAATATAATTAAACAATTATTTAAGCGTTTGATGTTAAATTTTCTATCATCATAAAATATAAGTTATCCTCAATATTAGTGTTAAAAAAAATTAGAGGATTAAGTTGATAGCAAAAAATGGAATAGCAAGTATAATGTATTTAGAAAAAAAAATAACAATTTGTTACATTTTTGTTAAAATATTATTTTGTATATTTAAAATCTACCGTTTTAGAAAAAACACGTATTTATTTTTATTCTACATACTATAATAGAAGAATATATTTTTTTTTTACTCGTAAGGGACATTTATGTATTTAGAATTAGAGTATTCACTGTTTAGAATTTAATAAAAAAATACATTTAAATTTTATATCATGTGCCGATACATATTTTAATATTTAATAAGTATTTATGTATTAACACTTTATTTCTTCATAGGTATACAAGATTAATATTTTAAAAGCGACTATCGCAGTCGCGTTGGCCCATTATTATACTCAATATAAAATTGTAATTTATTACTGTAATAAATATAATTTTAAATAATATAACGTTATTATAATTAGCTGTAGCTTTGTATAATAACAAATCAAACGGTTGTAAGAAAATAAACAAAATTGATCGTGTAATTTTTGATGGGAGAAAATCGGCAGCCGAATTTCGTAAATTGATAACACTTATTGCAAGCTTACCCATCTGTCTTGCCATTGTTATCGACGATGGACTATGATAAAAAAAAATGTGAGGTTATATCTTTGAATGTGATAGTGCTCGTGCTGTCTTTGCTGGCTTCCAAATTTCAATAATTGTGGTGCAGTAAATTTGGGAAGAAAGTGAGTACAAACTTGTTTCACTTGTGAGTACTAGGGCCAAATGTTTAAATTGTTTAATTCTATCATGTGACCGCTCGAACAATGGCGGCCGTGAAACGGAGTTACAGTGGTGGTTCTGTTGACGGAGTACCAGTTACGAAGAAGAGCCGAGAGACGGAACCGCAGACAGCCGAAAGCCGGGTACTTGATTTAATCAAAGCCTCAGGTACCAAAGGTGTATCCGACGATGACCTCATCAAAGAATGTCCGGCGCTGACTATCGAGGAGCGTGTCGACGTAGTCAATAAGTTAATCACGTCAAATGCCATAACGTTGCACAAGGTAAAGGACACGCTTAGGTACAAGTTCAAAGGGTCCACAACTTTAACACCTGGAGACGCCAATACCGAAGAGTTAGTCGTGTTCAATTTGATACGAGACTCGGGGCGAAAAGGTATATGGATACGCGATGTACGCATCAAGTCCAACTTGGGGCTACCGCGACTCAAAAAAATATTAAAATCTCTAGAGGCGAAGAAATCAATAAAAGCCGTCAAATCGGTGGCGGCGAGTAGAAAAATTGTTTACATGTTGTATGAACTAGAACCAGACAGTTCAATAACTGGCGGTGCGTGGTACTCTAATCAAGAGTTTGAATCCGAATTTATCGAAATCTTGACGAAACACAGTTACAAGTTCTTAGAGGCGAAAAAAGCTAAAGCTCTTAAGAATAACAGTGTGAGGAGCCCATTAGTTAAGTACAATTCTACATACGCAACTGCTGATCGTGTACTGGAGTTCATTTCAAAAACGGGCATCAGCAAAGTGAGATTGACTGTGGACGATATTTCATCAATACTCGATCTGTTAGTCTACGACGGTTTGGTGACGAAACGTGTGAACACCGATGGTAATGTCGAGTACCGTTCATCTAAGTCGTTAGTCAAAAGAAATGCTAGCAGTTTTGTGCCGTGTGGCAGTTGTCCTGTTATTAAACGATGTTCGGATGCAAATCAGTTGAATTCGCTTAATTGTATGCACATGAAAAATTGGACCACTATTTGAAAATTTTTGAAATTTTTTTTACCACCTGATGTATTCAATAATAGGCTAATTAATATTAAGGTTAATTTTACTAATAAAACTGAATAGTAAATTAATTTAAGTCTTTTTATTAGTATATTATGTTATAAGTAAAAAAAAAAAAAAATTACCCCTGTTAAAAAGGTTTAGGTGCTCTTCTGGGAGAATTCAAATACCTACCGGCTAACTAAAAAATATATTCTAAAAATGTTGATGTTCTTAGATATTATATTTGTTTTTTTCTGATAGAAGTGCCAAAAAATAAATTTTAAATAACGAATTTGTTATTAAATAGTCAATATGTATTTAGATATACAGTTAATTTTTTTTATTATTTATTATGATTTTTACAGTTTATCTATTTGACTTCAGTTGTGACTATAAGTGACATAATAAAATATGTTGAATTTGAGGTGAAATAAAATACAACTTTGTAGTAATATATATTGTACGTAATGCATATAATTTAACAAATTCTATTGAATCCAGACAAAGGCATGTAACCGGCAAAGGTTTCTACGAGCCCAAAATATTTTAATGTTACAAAGCTTAGAAAAAAAAAAAATAAAAACAAGTCCGTCTTAAGCCGATCAAAACGACAAGGATTTATAACCGTTGGCGGATTCGATGTTCCTCAACACCATGTAGTATGTATACAGTCTTTTGACAAACTATAAACAACAAGATCAAGTATTAAGTAGGTACCTATTTAATATTTGTTAACGAGAAAAGACGTTTTCGCAGTTTAGTCATATTAGTTCGAATTCATTTCTCCTCAAAGTGTGTGTGTAAAAAACCTTATACGCCCAAGTCATTTTTTTTTTTGTGAGCAGTAAGTATATAATATTGGTTTTGGTAGGAAAATCATAACCAAGTAGGTAGTTATAAGGTATACCCCACCCAAGTAACATAATACCTAGCTTGCAGAGGCGGATACAAGGAAGGGGGGCTATGGGGGCTAAAGCCCCATCCCTTATGTACTGAAATTGTATACATTAAAAGTGTATGTCATTTTATTATAATGTACTACATATTAGAATATTATAGATTTTTTTACTATATAAAAACGTTAACCCCATGACTATTGCTTACATGTATTTAAAGTTAATTTTTTTTCTAGCCCCTCCCTTTTATCATTCCTAGATTTCGCCTCTGCTAGCTTGTTCTCACGTTTCGTGTGGGAAAAAGTCGTCGAAACTCAAATGCGTATTAGGTGAAGTACAGTTTTACAAAATAAAATATAATATTGTACTCGTACGGCTATGAACGATCTGAAACACAGTTTGTACATGTAAAATCCAGACATAATTTTCGGTTTGTTAGCCCTGTTGATCATGATCATTACACACTGACCGATTGTCTTGTCGGCTCTCCACCACGGCGAACAGTACGACGTCTCTCCAACGCTGATTTGCTAGTAAAAAAAAAAAAACCGACCGTTTTGTCAACAGCTGTGCGTTTCGGCCGTATTGGTGTCGGCATTATAGTAAAAAAAATGTAATATATATATATACCTTTCTTATGATGTAATCACCAAAGAAATTGTTGAAGAACTGATGTACGACGCTAACGAAAATAAAAAATACCAAACTGATCGATTCACCAACGCCGACGCTGACCTATAAACACAATACTAGTGATGAGCTGTTGGACAGCTTGTTTTTACTATAAATAATAAATACTTGTTTATTATACTTATAATAAACAAGTTAGCTTAGTTAATTATGAGTAATGTAAGATATAGAAGTACACGTTTTGAATTTTTAACCTTTTTTTTCTACTCTAGCTGCGGATAAAAGTTTAGTCAACTACTGTTATTACTTATTTTGCTTTATTATTATCACCCTATACTTGGTTTAATTTGTATACAAGTGAGAAATAAAATAAAAATGATGTAACCGCGTGCTCTAATGGATGTTTGGTGGTCTATTTTATGTGATTATCACTTCTAACCAACAACAAAAAAACCAAAAATATAGAAGTGGCTGTCTACTTTAACCATCGCCCCTAAAAGGCCATAACAGAAGTGGTCAATATACTAGCCACCGCCCATAAAAGAGTTAAAATGCACAATAAAAGATAAAAATAAAGAAGAAAAAAAAACGCAGCTGCAATTTCTTGCAGTTAAAAGTACTGGTGGTAGTTTAAATTTATAGCGACCACATAAACCTATAAACCGATGTGTAACTTGACATTTTTTTCAAATCTAAAACATTGCCCTTTTAAGTCATTGAATATAGACTTTATTGTAAAATTGTTTCCAAATTTGAATTCAGCGAGCCCAAAAACATACAAAATGATATATTTTTATGTTTTTTATTCTAAAATTCAAGAGATTTTATTTTTTAACGCCTTTTTCAGATTCTAGACTTCTGTGCGACTATTACTTACCGTCGTCTGAAACATTGCAAACGTCACAGAAGCTATCGCGTGTAAATAATCGGCCAGCAATAGACTGCGAAACATGGCTTCCAATTTACTTATGTAGCTGTAAAAAAAGAATAGTCGGTAATTGTATTAAGAAATTACTATACACCAGTACATTTTTTTTTTGTCGAAGATTGTCAAACCCAAATAATTTTTAAAAGATTATCTAGTCCACCACTTCTTATCTATACTAACACATTAAAATGTCTACTGCCAGCACGCATCAATCGCATTCGTCTTGATCTAGTTCATTCCACTTTCCAGTCTTTCAACGCTCTTATATTAATATGTCTTCTTCAACTACAATGACACACCTTATCTCGTTGGTCTTCTATTACTATTGTGATTTGTGATTTCTTTTCCAGTGCTACTTTTGAAGATTCATGCTCACTCTTACTAGGTTTTCTCCTTATATTCCTCTTCTCGTTATAAACTCTATGGTAATTGGATTCTCTGTTTTTTTAATAAAACTCGTTAAGCCTCTTCCATCAACGTCCAATTTTGTCATGAAAATGGAGGGTTTCTGATGAACGGTATAGGTACCCTTTTTTGTCTGACATTGGAAAGTGGAATGCACTACGACAGTCGGTTTACTGTTGGATAGTACACTTACTCGAGTATCATTGTATGAAACTTGATGCATTCGCAAAGCCTCGAATGCCACATCTTATTTTTTTCACTTCCAAACCTTGTGATTGAACCACTATCTAGATTTTGAAAGAAATAATTATTGTGGTAATAGATATAAATGATGAAATAATTCCTACGGCGTGCGATTTTCAGGAGCGCCATTAAACGACGTCCTATCTATTTGATTAACATAATAAATTAAGTAAGGACATTAAATATATTAGGTATATTTGTATACATACTATTATATAGTATATTATTTACTATAATACATGCACTGTCTGTTCTGTATTACAATAAATAAATATTAATCGAGGATAACTGTCTAATGTCTAGTGCCTGTAGTTGGTATTTAACTAAATCCTACACTGTGTAATATGACAAACCCCTTTTAACATAACACATTTCGCTCACCATCAATTGTTAAGTCATTGAACACGTTGTTCAGTGAAGCATTGAGTAATTCAATTTGGCCTCCTATAGCGTAAATAGCGCCGAACACGAACGTGTCTATGCTCAAGTATAAGTTGACCGCGATAAACAGTACTGCCGACTTAAGTGTGAACATGGAATAGAACAGAGTGTAGTTGTTAATAGTAAACGGCATCCAACAGCTAAGCGGATAGCTTTTGGGGTCGTTGAAGTAGGCAAAATCCGATCGATCGCTAGAACAAAATATATAAAAAAACCAAACTTTATATTACTTATGGATAATATTAGTTGTAATTATTTACAATAAAAACCCATCACGGTATACATTTTTTCACCACAGTTTAGAAATAGTAATACAATAATAGAATTATTTAGAAAAACATGTAGCATCGAATGAATATTAGATGACAAATATCATCTAATACATCGGATGTGTAAAAATGGAATAGTTAAGTTTTGGGTGGACAATATCATGTATTTTGGAGTTGGAGTAGATAGCTAAAAACGGTATATAATCGAAAAATAAAAGTGAAACTACCAAACAAAGTTGGCATTTAATAAACTGATGGGAAGGCTTGATTCAAACTCATTCTCGAGAGTTAGGATCTGAAAATTCAACTGAAGGTCTATAATAAAGTAGTCTATCACAAATGTATAGTGCTCTAAGTTTTAATGATAGGTATAAAATGGATACCCTTTAGAATAGGTGATCAGCGGACTGACGATCAAGAAAGCAGACAACGCAATGCCTGTGATCAGATAAACGACGGTGACGCATCGCGTGGATTTCATGCGCTTGGCCACAAATAGCCTGGAAGACTGGCAATAGGCCTTGGTGCCTTGGTCGCCAATGGTCAACAGGGCGGATTGAAACTCGGCGTACCTGTCGCTGCACCACGTCATGCATGCCCATTTGTACAAACCGGTAAAGCTCATGGTCCACATGTCCACGGTCCGAGCCAATACCGACAAGTCGGGGGCCGCGAATATTTGGACGGTCATCGACAACGTCACGATGCCCACAACGGCGAAGAACATCACCCGATAGATGTTGAACGCGATCATGGCCGTCGCGTTGCTACCGTTGGCCGGCGGGAAAATGCCCAGCAATCTGAGCACATCGACTTGTAGATCCAGGCGGTAACTCATCGCGGTGGAGCTTAACATTATTTTAACGATACATGTTAGATTTTAATTCTATTCCTACCTCCAGAGTTGTGCAAATTCTTATTTATATAAATAAAAATGTATTCGAATATTTTTTTTCAATTTAAAATTGTTTGAAAATATTCAAATAATATTTTATTTGAATACATTTTACTTGCATACTGTGTTATCTATATGATTATTTAGATAACGTTTTATTCGAAGGATGCCTATCTCCATGCAGCATTGGCAAATATTTTTTTCTAATGACTTTTATTGATATATTACTATTTGTGGATTGTGACTTAATATACTTACTATAGTGTCTCCTTCGTATGTCTACATATCTATAATCTACTCAACATATTTTAAAATTGTCACCATTGTCTTTCAATCGAAAAGGTTGACTACAATCTTTGCAATCGGCGTATTAATTACCTACATAACCTTACTCTTTGTGGGGTTTCTCCATCTCGATTTCCTTACACATTCATGCATAATAAATTGAAATGATCCTATCTGAGAATTTACAAATGCTCTTATATACACGTTATAAATTACCCACTGTATAAATCTTAACCTTTGAAAAAATTATAGTATCTACATTAGTTCCACGCTAAAATCCTATCCCTGCTTCTTTCATCATATTTTTATTCGCCCAAGCCACCATCATATTCATCGGTAAAACTAGGAATAATTAAAAGCGCCGGCTAAAATTAATAATTTGCATCATTGCTATTTCTGTGTACTTACGTGGATTTTATCCAGTTGAATGCAATGAAAGAAGTTCTATTATAGCTCTTGGCTATAAAACCACTGTGGACACACTATTCTTATATTAAAATGTATTTCCGTGTGATATTTCAACTATCACATTATAAAACGTTTACTTATTAAGTATTCGATGTTAAGTATAAATTATGTATAACCGATACACTATTGTAATTATGTTTTGAATAATATAAAATATCGATATAAAAGTAAACGCAGATAATAACAACCATAGTCGACCTTAGCCGACACAAAGGCAAAATAATAGGACGTTTCATCGGCAACCTGTGTTTATCGTTTGATCAATATTAGGAAATTTTGAAGTACTCGTCGTTTTAAATTATTTATATCTACTGAAAACGACCTTGTGTGATTTGTATTCTCGAACATACTTCCATATTTATTATGTATATTGACTTGATGTAAGTTACAAGAATTCTGATACATTGGCAGACAAGTCGACATAATAAAAACATAGAACATCATCGTAGAATTAACTTTATGCAAGTTTTAGGTGCTTTTTACACGATTCTGCTTAATCCGCAGAATCATAAATGGTTCTATTGTTATCCTAAACATTTATTTTCTAATTTTCTATGTCCATGTCCGATGTCCATTCATTCTACACTCTACCACGTTACCTCTTAAAACATTCACATGCCTTGAATGTCTGAAGTCCTGGTGGGTCTTTATAGTTCAGCTTAACAGTGAAGAGTACTAGGAATACCACGTTGCTAGTATTTAACAGCATTAAAACATTTTACTGATTGGTCTTGGTAATGGTTTGTAAAGTTGATTATTAAACGCGGAACAAGAATAGATACTATTAATTGTATTGAGTAATAGACTGGCCATTATCTTTAAATGCAAACCTTTTTCAAACGATTTGACACATACACCCATATTGCGTTTATTAGAACAAAGGTCTACCAAAATATTAACGTATAACAAGAATGAAACAAATCTCCTAAACTAATAGAAATCTATATATTGTGTTTGCTTGTCACAAGTGATGAGATAATATGGCAATTTCCGTTGTCTGCGGTATTGGTATACTCAGATCACTATTTCCAGATTTCTAATCTTATTCATCCTTATTGCTAGGGCTCGGTTTATTGCAGTTGCCTCAATACCATGTAATAGGTATAAAGGGCTTTGACGAACTATAAACACACAATAGAATATATTAGCGTTATTCTGCTTGACCCGCATAAAGTTTTACAAGTTGACTTACAGCAATAAAAGATTTAAAGCACAATTTGTACATGTAGAATCCGTCGATTATTGTCTGCTCGTTCGATCTGGTGATCATCAACGTTAAACATCCACGAACTTGCTTGTCGGCTCGCCACCAAGGTACGTTGTAAAGTGAAGTCCTTACACTCATTTGCTTAAGAAACACACATCGTAAAGTATTACATACCCCTCTTAAAGATCGATCAATGTCACCGCCAAAATATAACAAATCAATTATGTGTTACCAGCCACCTTTTGGATGATATATTCGCCGAAGAAATTGTTGAGAAACTGATGTCCAAGACTCAAGGCTATAAAAAAAATTACAGCAATCTTTTCGCTGACGTCTACGCTTATCTGTAAACGAAAAACGGTATTTTATATTTACTCGAAACAAGGTCGGCGCCGTTGTAGATGCCTTTGAGAAGCCAAAAGGTTTTGTGAAACGGTTTTGTGATCCAACACTTAAAATCCTGATAATAATCTACGGTTAGCTATTAGAATAGTCAACTTGGTCAATCGCCATCACACTTACGCCTGACTAGAATACAATTTAGTTTAAACTCAGTTTCTCAGATTTCTCAGTTCTCTTGTCTCGCTGTAGGGTGTTTGGGTTTTTTAATGTTGAAAAACATTCGTCATTGCATATATTTTGTAAAATGTGACAGTTTGTGATTCGTAGACACCTCTAATAGGCTCTATGTAGATTTCATTGAGATAACAGCACACACTTACTGTCGTTTGAAACATGGCAAATGTCAAAGATATTAGTCCATGCAGGTAATCGACAAGTATGAGCAAGCTGAACATAACTCTTAGTTTTCTTATATACCTGTAAATTTATAATAAATATTTGTTTTTTTCTTAGTTAAACCATTCTGAGCTACTTTATAGTTTTAAACAAACACTATACTTTAAAATAAGAATATGATGTTTGATGGATTGCACAATCATAGAATGGAATTGATTTTGTTGATCTTTTTCGAATTTCATTGTTGAGTTTTGGTCGTCTCCATCTGTTGAAATATATAGAATACGGCGACAATATATTTTTTTTAAATTTTAGTAAGCTGTTAGGCTTTAGACCTTAGTGATGGTGTTCGAAAAGGAGAGTGTTTGACACTGAATAAAAGACACGGATCTACAATGAGAATAACTGAAGTGAGAAACATGGATTTCAAATTTAAACGTTTTTCAAAACCAAAATGAAGCGCTTCTAACAACTCTTACAAATCACATTTTAGAATTATTGTAAAATCGAAGAAAAAAGTTTATATTTAATAACTATAAATTAAAAAAAAAATTTACATCAATATATTGTGGTAGTTTTTAGAGAGTAAAATAAAAGTGTTCTATTCCAAAAAATAGTTAATGGCCAAATACTACAACTGCACTTAAAAGTTAGGTTATATAGTTTCAGTATTTTTAAACTATAGCCTTAATAAACGGCCACTTAAAATTCCGTCGTCAATATTTATTTTACTATTAAAGTAGATATCATACAACATAAATAAATCATAAACAATCTTAACTGATGGGCAACGCTAAGTATATCAGTATTGTAAACTTTTCGCTACTGTCTGTCGCTTTCCTCCTCTACCTTTGCTTCTTTGGACAACTGGTAAAGTCATAGGGTCGAAATAGAAATCTTTTAAGTTCCCAGCTAGCTGTGCCACATGTGATTTGTGTAATAGATAAATGCGACAGATAGATAAACGAGAAGAGATACAGACACAGACAACCGAAAGGACGACTGACTCTTTGAATATTTGGATACTTATCAATTTAGATTCAATCGTTAATAATCGACCACATGGAATACTATATGGTTTAATTATTTACCAGAAACTAATGTCTTTTCAATGTTGTCCAACGATGCGTTAAGCAATTCTATTTGACCACCCACTGCGTACATGGCACCAAACATGAATGAATCAATGCCTAAATAGACGTTGGTGATGCCTGCCATCGTAAAGACATGCAAGAAGAAGATACCGTTGAAAACCCAACGCTCTTTTACCGTGAACGGCATCCAGGCGCATAAGGGATAGCTATTTGGGTCGTTGAAATAAACCAAATCCGATCGTCCGCTAAAAAAACAACATTATTTATTGTTTAAAATATGTTATATGCGAAAACTTATCGCGTTCAGTCGACGAAGTGCCTGATTTTTAGTAATTTGCACTGATTTAGCACTGCGAGTACTATTATAAGGGTTTTCAAATACTCAATGGGTTTATTTAACATTATAAAATAGAACGCCAGTCGTAAGACAGTAAATCATCATTGAACTATACCATGTCTTAGAAATCTGCATTTACATTTCGAGTTATTTTAAATGATATATTTTTTCAATCAAAGTCTAATTTACGTTGCCACCCACCCTGTATGCCGGTGTCTTTGGGCAGTGACGCAAATGGGAAACAATCTGAGAAAGAGAAATCTCGTGGCGACCCAAGTGTTTAGTTTAATTAAAAACAAAATGTGCTCGATTATACTAAAATTGCTTCACTTATAATATATTTATTTGAGATATTGGGTGTATTACTGAATTTCCTGGAAAATGATATACAACCGTATCTACAGTTATAGGACTTTTGTCATTTTTTAATATTTAAAACTATATGAGTACAAATACCTAAGTGTACAATACATACATATTCTCTGGGTATATAAGTAGTCTTGTGTAAGCCAAGCCCTCCCCCTCCCAATTTTTTCGCCACAGTATTTCTACTATTCGACACGCCGAGTTAATCTAACTTAAACTGGCACTTTGGTATTTACTTTTGAGGATAATTCAGCAGAGGATTTATGGTATATAATAGAACAGCGCAGAGGCCACATAGTAGATAAATGACCGTGGTCTGTCTGACCGGCCCCATGTAATCGGCGGTGAACCGTTGAGCTCTCCTGCCATACAATATCAGCCCTTGGTTTTGGATTGCCATCAGGTTGGTGTTGAACTCCATGAAGTCGTCGCTACTTCTGGCCATGCAATACCACTTGAAGATGCCAGAGACGAACATGGTCCACAAGTCGATGGTGCGGGCGATCATTGTCAGGTCGGGGGCTACCAACAGCTGTAAGGTTGTGGCAAATGCAACTACCGAAACGACAGAGATGAACAACACGCGGTAGACCGTGTAAGCCCGGAAAAGAGTCGGGGATGAAGATGAATCCACAGGAGGGAATATACCGATCCATTTGAGCACGTTCGCCTGCAATTCGAGATAACTCATGTCGGTGCTTATTTCCAGTATTGACAATAAACCTGTACAGCTAACGAATTGAGTAAAACAAAAGCCAACATCCAAAACTACAGTAGCGAATAAGTTACTACCTATTGCTGCTGTATTATACGTCTTATAAATTATACTACGTCTGAGGTCGTTTCCGCCTCTTAACCTTCTGCCTCTTGTATATAGTTGGATTTTATTCCTCGTCGAAATTACATACTATTATACTGACTTTTCTAACTTTTAATAAAAAATAACTTCTCAAATAATGGTAAAATGATTTATGGTTATCACCCTATAATTTAGTCGAAATGCTAGTATATAATTGGGACTTGTATAGACCGATATGTTGAATAAATAAAATTTTACCTTCTTGTTAATTGCCTCGACATTACCTACTTTCCTCGAGTGATTACAATATCTTGACATTCGCGTTTTTAGCCTAGCCTTAGTAAACCGTCAACGTGCATCTATCCCCTTCCGCATATCCTATACTTCCTAGCTGACCTAACTTACCAACACTTCTTTTCTACTGTGCTAGCCAGTGAGTCTTAAATATTTCTTTTTGTTATTGTACTTTTCTTTATTTTAAGGTTCATCCCGTGCATATATATAAAAAAAATACTCATTCTCAATAGTTCTATCTAACCTGATTTCTAAGAGACAATGAAGTACTTAATTTTTATTATTAGATAGCTGTTATAGAACTAGGGTTATTTAATAGATAGTTTGGACAAATATTTTGAGAAACGGTTTGTAAATTAATCAAAATAAAATAGCTTTGCATATATTAATGTATGGTTACCACCCTACAATTTAGTCGAAATACTAATTTATAATTGGCACTTGTATTGGCCGATATATTGAATAAATAAAAACTCAAGACAAATTATCAGAACGCAAACTATTTCTGAATATATTTTATTAATAATTAATACATACTACACAACCTTAAGTCTACAAAAATTAGTTTGTCATTTAAAATGTATACAAAAATAATATGAAGGGCTGCGGGGAAAAAAGATCATTGTCAATTTTTTTTTTAAATGAGATTTTGGTTTTAAATTATTTGTATTGATGTATTGTATCTTTTATGCGATCGAACCAGGGAAAAAACAGATTAGTCGAGAGTAACGACCGCCGGAAGTTTAGGCATACAGGCAAAATGTATTACGTTTTGAAATTAAAAACATGATTTTCTCAGAATGTTAAAAAATTGACATTGATCTTTTTTCCCCGCAGCCCTTCATATGTTTAGTAGTTATAAAAAAATATTTTTTTATAACATCTAAATCCTAATAGTTAATTGAGAATCATTTTTAATTTACCCGGTCGAACAACGTGGCACTTTACAACGTAGCGTTTTTATGTTGGGCACTCGCACTGAAAGCCAAGCGACTTTCGTTCCGTCTTTCTTGTGAGCGTTACTGAACGACGTCGCTTCATCCTTCAATTGCTTATGACGTCATCAGCCCCACCTTTATCTGGCGAGTTAGCATCGTACAGCAATATACCTATGACAAAGTAGTCATATTCGTCTAAATAGTTGTCGACGATTTTTTTTATTACCTGAAAAGGTGTTTAAACAGTCCTGCTATCATTTAAACCTACTATGCCAGGAATTTTCATGATGCTGTGTCCACACCTAACAAACGTTTGTGGAAACATTGTTTGACAGACGTTTTATCATGATAACAATGTGTTTGCCAAGACAGTTGTGACCATGTCAGACTACTTAGAGCAAGTCGCGTGCTGCATTGGCGCCACTGCGTTTGTTATTATGCCTAATAATATTTAAAAAATTAAAAAGGAAAGAAGGTGGTGGGGAAGACAACTTTTTGGGCGATAAAAATAGTTTCTTTTTTTTTTATCAAAATGTTCTACACTTTGCTCAACATTTTCGGAATTTTTTTTAATTTCATCAGAATTTCGTCCACTGAGACTATCGTCATTACTCGATCCTGTTTCAAAAAAATCGAAATCAAATAAATTATCGTGTAAATAATTATCTGATAAGATAAAAGATATAAGAGATAAGATATTAAAGATAATAGAGATTAGATATACGAGTTAAGAGATACAATATTCGACCAGTTCCTTGGACGTGGGTATACTTAAATTGACATTAACTCGGTCATAAGACATACTACATAATACATATATACATGCGCCTACGTATCCGCTTGTAGTGTGGATATTCAAAAAAAACATTTTTCAGTTTAAAAGTTTTTAAAATGTTTAAATAATATTATATTTGAAATCTGTCACCTTTGACTTTCATTCGAAAAGGTTGACTACAGTCTTTGCAATCAGCATATTATTTATTTATATAACCTTACTTTTTTTGGTTTCTCCATCTCGATTTCCTTCCACATGCATGTATAATATAATTGAAATGATCCTATTTGAGAATTTATAAATGCTCTCACATACATGTTATATTATTGCCCACTGTTCAGCTCTCGGACAACTGTGCTAAAAATCTTAACCTTTAAATGAATTATAGTATCTACATGATTTCCGCGCTAAAATCTTAACCCTACTTCTTTCGTTATATTTTCATTCGCCCAAGCCACCATCTTATTCATCGGTAAAACTAGGAATAATTAGAAGTAACAATAGAGTCGATTGAAACCTCGTCTTTGTGAGAATAATAAAAAAAGCATAATCCCAAACAGACTAGAATAGAAAATATTTTTCCATATTAAAAAATTCGATTGAACACTGATTAAATTATCATTAAATTTAAATAGTTTGTTTTTATCAAGTAATTATATAAAATATTATTTCTTATAAATCTAAAATATTCTATATTTAGAAATATACTAGAAATATTTTTACATATACTAGTAAATATGGGAAGACAATTTTTTCGAATTAGTTAAAAAAAAATTACTCTAATCATTTTTTATAAGATATTTTGGTGGTACATTTGAAGAGTTGATTTCAAAATGTTCATCGGTATGTTTATTTAGTTTTATTAGTTTTAATTTTAAAACACTTATCATTTTTAAAAAAACAATTAATCGATTAATTTTTTTCTTTTTTTCGAATGAAAAACTGTCTTCCCATAATTACTAGTTTTATATATTTTCTAAATTCAAATATAATCCTTGAAAAGAACACAAATTATTTAAATAATACTTTTACAAATTATTCGAATAACTTTTATTTGAATACTGTGTTATATAGATGATTATTTACTATTTAGATAACGTTTTATTTGAATGGTGCAACATTAGATGAGTGTAACTACCTGTCGTTACCACTTGGTCAATATTAATATATTTTGAAGTACAATAAAATATAAACATTCCCATCGTTTTTAATTTCTTATGTCGACTGAAAACGACTTTGTGTGATTTGTATTTTCGAAGATACGTCCAATATTTATTTTGTATATTGACTTGTCAGTCAGTGTTTCGGAAGTCTTCCAAGTGCAAGTGCAGCCCTTAAGATGTAAATTACAAGAATTCCGAAACATTAGGAGAAGTCGGCATTAGAAAAATATGAGAATATCTTTGAAGTAACTTCATGCATTAGTTTCAGGTGCTTTCTACACGCTTCTGCTTGATCCACACAATCATAGAGGGTTCTATTGTCATCCTAAACAATTATTTTCAAATTTTCTCTGAACATGACTTATATCCATTCATTCCACAACATTCGCCTACCTTGAATGTCAAGCGAGCAATTTAGTTCATTCATTGTCATCCTCCGAAACCTGTCAATTCTTTTTAATCCAGCTAAACAGAGAAAAGTACTGGAAATACCACTCTGCTTTGAAACTGGCGTTTAAGAGCATTGAACATTTTACTGATTGGGCTTGGTAATCGTTTGTAAAATTGATTATTAAACGCGGAACAAGAATAGGTATTATTAATTGCACTTAGTAATTGACTGGTGATTGTCATATAAATGTAAACCCTTTTAAATGTCAATTATCACAGAAATTTAAACTTTTTTCAAATAATTTGACACAGAAATCAACATTGCGTTTATTAGAACAAAGGTCTACAAAAATGTTAACGTTGAAACAAAATTGATAGGCACAATATATCAATAACTAAACGAAATTCTTAACTTAATAGAAATCTGTTTACTAATTATTGTGTTTCCTCGTCACAAGTGATGAAATAAAATGGCAATTTCCGTTGTCTGTGGTGTTGGTATGGTCAGAGCACTAATTCCAGATTTCTTCTAGTCTTATTTATGCTTATCGCTAAGGATCAGTTTGATGCAGTTGCCTCAATACCATGTAATAAGTGTAAAGGGCATTGACGAACTGTAAACATACAATAAATTAGCGTTATCGTGCTTGACCCGCATGAAGTTTTACAAGTTGACTTACAGCAATAAAAGAGTTAAAGCACAATTTATACAGGTAGAATCCGTCGATTATTGTCTGCTCGTTCGATCTGGTGATCATCAACGTTAACAACCTACGAACTTGCTTGTCGGCTCGCCACCAAGGTACGTTGTAAAGTGAAGTTCTTACACTCATTTGCTTAAGAGACAACACATCGTAAACTATTACCAACCCCTCTTAAAGATCGATCAATGCCACCGCCAAAATAAATCAAATCAATTATGTGTTACCAGCCACCTTTTGGATGAGGTATTCGCCGAAGAAACAGTTCAGAAACTGATGTCCAAGACTCAAGGCTATGTAAAAAATTACAACAATCTTTTCGCTGGGGACTACGCTTATCTGTAAACGAAAAACGGTATTTTATATTTTACTTGAAATAAGGTCGGCGCCGTTATAGATGCCACGAGAAGACAAGAGGCTTTGTGATCTTAAATTTATAATCCTGACAACAATCTATGGTTGGCTATTAGAATATATATTATATTAGAATAGGTAGTTAGTCAACTTGATCTATCGCTATAACACTTGCGCCTGGCTAGAATACAATTTAGTTTAAACTCATTCTGTTTTCTCAGTTCTCTTGTGTCGCTGTTAGATGTTTGGAATTATTCAATTTAAAATACATTCGCCA